TTATATTTCGAAACGAGTTGGCTTCCATTAAAAGAGAGGCGAAAAACTCACGACAGTACACAAAGTAATAGTGTACGAATGTCCCTCATATTTAAATGATTTATAACCCCACAATAGATCAGCTGCTTCAAATTATAACCAACGTAACAAACAGAACATAACTGTTCCTTTTGCCAGTACAAGTACGTTCCAAAAGCCGTGTATTATAGATTCATGGAAATCACTTAAATGAAAATGAAAAAAACCACCAATACTTCTATAGCTGAATTTAAAACAAAAACATATCCAAATGTTATTTAGATCTCCATATTATTTCAGTTATGGAAAGCACTAAAAATGATGATTTATTTACCCTTAATTTTTCGGACACTTTCTTGGTCTTGCGGTTCCCAATGCGAAAATGCTTTTCACTATTATCTCGAACGTAAGAAATATACTTTAATAAGACAACGTTTGTTTATCAGCATTATCAATATAGAGGCTTGGTCTAATTCTGAAACAATTCTATGTGGTAACAAAAATCTATCAGAAGAACAAAATTATTCAATTCTTAAATATGTTCATCAATTTATAGTGAAAACAAACAGATTATAAATGTTATTTTATTTAATTTAACAAGAACATCACTAGCTACTTCTCTGTTGTAACAAGTACATTCAATACATGTTGGTATAGTATAACAAGTCATAGTTATGTTTTCTATTGGTTTTAGTATTCGTTATGACTATGATTTTGAAGTAAAACAATAATATTCCATGTAATTACCACTGTTTAGTAAAATTCTATAGTTCCCACCCTTAACTTAAATCCAAAATGTCCATTATTGACAGCGTTCATTAACTACTGGCAATGCATTAAATATTTTTAACCAATGTACCAAAAATAGATAAACTTGAAAGAAAATGTATATAAATGTATCACATGTATAATAATGCATATGCACGCTTGTGTGTGCATATGTATGTCTATGTATATTTGCATGTGTGTATGTATATATGAGTGTATCTGTGTATATACGTACGTCTCTATCTATGTATACGAGTATGTGTATGTATGTATATGTGAGTGTTTGTGTGTATATATGTACGTGTGTACGTATGTTTATGTGTATGTGTGTGTATTTATATAAAAGTGCATGTGTGTATATATGTACGTGTGTACCTATGTATATGAATATCTGTGTGTATGTATATATAGTGTTTGTGTGTATATATGTACGTGTGTACGAATGTTTATGTGTATGTGTGTGTATATATACATGAGAGCATGTGTGTAGATATGTACGAGTGTACAAAAAAAAATCAACGTAGCAATTTAGTTAATTATTACAAAAAAGATGTGGTGAAAGGTCATATTTTTTCTTGCCAAACAAAAACCAAGCTGACATTCGCCTAACACTAAAAGTATTCGAACTCGCACTAGGTGCGAGTGCATGGTGCATGTTACGCAGCTGATTGACGACACATAAATTCATTGAATATGCAGTCACACTGTTTAACCATCACCTTGCGGCATATGCACAATCTATTTCGAAACTTCGTATCTGAAACACCTTTGCATAACCAATAACTTAACATTTGTGCGCTGTCGTGTTCACTCACCTGCTCGTCTTTAACCTTTAGCCTCGGGGTTATCGGCAAATAACAGCGCGATGGTAAATTATGAACCATTTCAGTAAAACTTAATTTTCGAGGTCATCATGTCGGTTGCAGAAATACGAACATTCGGGTTAATCTGACATGTCATGTTATAAAACTTGCAGGAAACAATTAATGACTTATAAATATTCACTAATCCTAATTTCAAGCGTTTAGGTTGAATATTTACGATATACAAAAATAAACAACCCGTGTCATGATGCTAGCAGACGTCCTAAAATCTAACATGGCGCGCTTCGCCCGACCTATGAATAACTATTTCAATAACAACAAAGTTTACATTGCCTTTATAAGTATGCCTTGGCGAAAGATGGCGATCTTCTCAATCGAAGGATGTTTTTTTTGTCATTTTCCAATTAATATGACGAGAGAAAAACGAAAATAAAGATCGTGAATTCTGATAGCAATAATTCAGTAAGTGCAAAGGTCACCGGATGTAATGTTCACAGACGGGGGTTGTCTCCTGATAATTTTTAGTACCAAAACAGTTACAGTAAATTTTGAAATATTTCTCCTATCACATATAGCTAAAACATAAGTCAATACATAGTATCAGTAATCACCACTAATATGAAATAAAAATGTGACTTTTACGATATAATTGGCGTATTATTTAACCCGTTTGACCCGGAAACGGTAGACGATAAATCAACATGCCACATGCAAGTTTCTCGGTATCTTTTGAACTTTTGTTGATATTTAGGAATCACCATTCAATGTTACGGCGAATATAAATGAGCATGTTTCATATTTCTGCGATGTACTCGCTGATAAGTTTCACTATTATAAGTGTATTCCACGCAATACGTCTATGGATATCGTCGATCAGCAATTTAAGATCACCCTCTACAACAGGCGAGCGAAAATGGGCTTGACAAACGAAACGTGTTCAAAATAACATTCCTGCGTTTTTGAATATGATAGGCTATATTATAAGCAATAAAATGCTACATACATATTTTCGGTGATAGTTCCACATTACATTTGGGGCAGTTTTCCTTTCATAGATTCTAGCATGATTTTAGAACAATTTCACGAAGCATTTCTAAATTTATTCCAAAAATATGAAGGACGCCATGATTGCGTATTGATTATAGATTTGTAATTGTTAAATTATTTACAGCTGTTTACAGGTTTTAAAATTTTATGTTCTATTTTTATATTTATATCTAGTAGTTATTTTTTTCCACAATGATTGTGTGTATGGACACTAAATATTCATCAATGCATCAGCACAGTGTTACTGATCAAACTTCAATTATTATCTTTAGTTTAAAGATATTTTATTCTACAATTATTATCTTTCACTCTGAACATAAATTATGTGAATAAGTAACTATGTCATTTAAGTTTAGTATTCCATAAATAATGAATACATTGATCAGATCCTTAACATATACATACTAAACTCATATGGACATTCATCTTGTGCATTAAGTTGTTTGTTTCCAAATAAAACATTTCTTAAATATATTTGTAACATGAATATGATACATTACTTACTTGTAACAGTACATGAAATTTTTGTTTGTTTAATCACAAGAACCATGGTGGCACATAAGCTGGTGAGTTAGCCACATGTTTCTAAGAAAATGCTATCTCAGTCTTCTGGTTGTTGGAGTGAAAAGAAATATGCCTGTATACATGTTTACCCTTGCCAGATGTATTTTATTCTGCTCAGCCACGCCCCATGACTTTAGTTCACCTTATGTGGTCTATTTTGCATATATAGGTACTGCTGCAAACCTGTTTTTTCATTGTATGCAATCACAGTCCCACAACTACCTCAGCTGGAGTGTTTAAAAGTTCCCCTGTCATCATGAAACAAGAGTTATAAAGGAAAGTCATAGATCATCGTCAAAATATCAGAACGTAAAAGTAACATATTCCCTTCTCAAACAACAACTTACATGTCATTATTATTATGTACACAAACATAGCTGTTTTTTTAATTGTTGTTTTGATAACTTTTTTCCAGGCTAATTTGCATAATGCCTATAGCCTGTTTCTGCCATGTCAATTTGGACTTAGTTTTATTTTTGAATGTTGAAAGTGCCTACAAATTACCTCCTGTAAAGTACATTTTGTATTGAGCACTGAGATAAAACTAGAAAATCCAGACTAGTATTTTTCCAGTTGTTTTGTTATTTCGTATTTACATCTACGTTATGCTTTGTGTCCTTTATTAAATCCAGCAAAACAGTTTTTTAGTAGTGTTTGTAGCGCAAAATAGCAATATACAACACCATCTTTCGATGAGAATAGCTACTTACACTGTGTTGATGCTATTACACGTACATGCAAGTACTTAATCTCGCTACACTACATTGTCAGTAAATAAAAGCGACAAAAACCCTTTCAATAGGCAATAGAAATCTCTACCAAAAACAGAAACAATAAAACAGTTTCTAAAGGTTAACAAAATGCATAATATTCGATCTCAAACAAAGACCCAAAAATATGTATTTCTGGGGAGCCAACGAGGTGCTGCTCCCACCCTAATAACCATGAATAACGACACGAATGAGCATGATTAACGACACGAATGTCCATGAATAACGACACGAATGAGCATGATTAACGGCACGAATGACCATGAATAACGACACGAATGAGCATGATTACCGACACGAATGAGCATGATTAACGACACGAATGAGCATGAATAACGACACGAATGACCATGATTAACGACAGGAATGACCATGAATAACGACACGAATGACCATGATTAACGACACGAATGACCATGATTAACGACACGAATGATTATGTCATGCAATGAGGAAAAGGTCACACCAACGTTTGGTCTCTTTGTCCTGTTTAGTGATTGTGTCCCATGATATCTATCACCTGAGGTTTAAATGTGAATGTTTTGTTGGAACGTTTATTTACACGTTGCGAATATATCAGTTATTGTGATAACATTTTCAAAATTTCCATCAACGACCATTTCACAAAAAAAACCTTATTATTCGTTTCAAATACAAATTACATAGTTATTCTAATAAAATGCATTTTATACGAGGAAATTGATCTAAACAAAAAAAACGCTTCACCAGGCTAGAACCTGCGGATACCAACACCTGTCTAAACCAAACACCTGTGCGCGTTTCGTTTGTTGTTAAACACAATTACGATATTATTATATGACATAATATTTCGTATTTGTGTGAAATACAATATATTTAATGAAATAGTTTCGAAAATTGTTTTGTCAGTGGACTTAGAGCGTATGACAGCTAGGGTACGATGACCTGAGCGCCTTGTCAAGAGCACAACGGCACATTACGACTACGCCATCGATCGTATCTTTACTGCACAACCTGAGCCGCCACTCACCTTACACAACACAGCAGCTTCTCTAACTTCAACGCATTCGTCCAGATCGCAGTCCGACTGTACGAGCTGTCAATTCACAGGGCCTTTTAACGCTTTGATCAACATTTGAATGAATCAACTTTATTCTTGGAACCGAAACAGTTCGTGGAAACATGTTTATTTTTAGCACCTCTCGACTGATAACTGCAATGCATCAGTTCTACTTTCGTTTCACAGTACGGGGTTTCCCTGTGGTTCCGTAGGTCACCACGCAGTAGTTTCGTGTTTCAAGGTTTCTGGAGTCAAGGATTTGCTTTCTTTCAGGCTTCACGATGACTGTCAGTGGTGGGGTCAAGGTCGATATTGTTTCGCGCAGCAATAATCCGCCAATACAATGGTGGGAACTCGAGTTGTAATAATAATAATAATAATAATAATAATAATAATACAGTGAACTACGGTTATAACGAACTCAGATGGACCACTAATTTTAGTTCGTTATAACCGTAGTTCGTTGTAATCATATATACATCTATACAGCAAATGGCCGGGACCAAAAATAAAGTTCGTTATATCCGTCAGTTCGTTATAAGCGTGTTCGTTATAAACGTATTTTACTGTAATAATAATTATGATAATAAACGTGCCAAGGATGTGGGGCATAATCTCATTGTCGGTGTTGATTATGTTGATGGTTCTGTACTGCTGGACGGTACAAAAATGAGTGTCAACCAAGCGAAGTGCCATGTCAAGTCGGCCCAGACTCAGGTCGGCCCAGGAGAGGCTTTCTGAACGACCACTGCATCGAGTTTATGTGCAGTGTGTTGAGAAGATCAGCAATCCTGCAGAGTTCTTTGCGTGGATGAAGTCGACTGGCCTGAAAAGTGAAACAGAAGGCTTTCTGTTCGCTGCTCAGGACCAGTCACTTCCCACTCGAAACAGTCAATGTGTGATTTTGCATCAAAATGTAAATATGAAATAAAGATTATGCAATGAATTTAATGAGACTGTCCAACACATTGTCAGTGGATGCCCTGCTTTGGCACAAACACAGTATCTTAAGCGACATGATGGGGTGGCTCGATCGTTTTATTATCGTCTTCGCCATGCTTGTGGTTTCGACACAAGGGTCCATCCATGGTACAACCCGAAATATATTGAGGGCGTCATGGAAAATGATAAATACAAACGTATCAAAGCCAACAAACCTGATCTTGTCCTTTTTGATAAACCCAATGAAATCATATATATTATTGAATTTTCTGTCCCTTTTGACACTAATGTGATTGATAAGATTGAGGAAAATAAGCAGACCTCGCCGTCGAAATGTCACGCTTGCATCCCAAGTACAAAGTTGTCCGTCCTCCCATTGTTCACGGTACCTTAGGTTTGGTACCTCCCAATCTGTTGACTGACATTGGGAGAGTGTCCGGGTCTGCTACCAGGAATACAGCCTTTCTGACAATCTGGGTAATGCAGAAGGCTGCAGTGTTGGGAGTCTTCACATTCTCCGAAAACTTCAGGGTGGGTGAGAGAGTATAGTTTTACTCGCTTTTAGCAATAAACACGCAATGTCACTAACATTTGAAGGGTACCCACGTGGGGAATCGAACCCGTGCGAACACTTTAACCTCTTGGCTAATCCACATGTGACGGAGTATGTTGAGAAAACTAAGTTCTCATGTGTTTACAGTGCGTCATATGAAACACAAACGAAATGATTGATGTGCTCGCTTAGCGATGCAAGCCATGGAAACAGATACAATGTTGTGTGATCTTTTTTTTAAATTCAATGTTTGATAAAGCTGAAATGATGGCGCGCTCTATTGTAGGTATTTCAATTCCAATATGCCCAAGGACAAGTGCACCATCCAGATACATATCAGTAAATATTGTCACATACATATAACATATTGCGTTGTGCCTGTGTACTGAATTTCCCCAAATACTCACCTTCAAGTTTACGTTCTTCAGAATAAGATGACATTAGCCGCTCTTCTCAACCCTTAGGCCAGATATAATGAAGACAACCTTCACTCTCTCAAGACATTCCCAGTTACGACGAAGTAAGAACGTGTTCATTGAAGCTTGAATTGTTTGATAAACATTACTGAGAGGTTGATGGATGTCACAATAGAAACAATTTATGTGCAAACGTCTTTATTATACTGTAATAGCTACTGTTCGGTCCAGGGTCCACTTGCACAAAGCGATCTTGGCGCTAAGATGATCGTAACTCCCATACTTTAACATAGGCTTACAATAGTCATAGCGCTAAGATTGCTTTGTGCAAGTGTGCCCAGATCCTTATTCCTCTGTCAAGCAGGACAATATGTACTTTGCGTTGACGCTGGTGGTTCACACGTAGATCTATGTTGACACGCCTGTTCTTTCCCTCCGTGAAGATCCGGGGTAGAATAGGTCTTCAGCAACCCATGCTTGCTGTAAAAGGCGACTATGCTTGTTGCAAGGGGCGACTAACGGGATCGGGTGATCAGTCTCGCTGACTTGGTTGATGCATGTCATCGATCCCAATTGCGTGGATCGATGCTCATGATATTAATCACTGGATTGTCTGGTCCAGACTCGATTATTAACAGACCGCCGTCATATAGTTGGAATATTGCTGAGTGCGGCGTTAAACAGAAAACCAACCAACCAACCCCCTAAGGAATTTTAGGAATGACACAACAACTTTGCTTTGTTGTTGTACAAACGTTAACATTATGTTTTACAGCACGACTGACTGTCCTGTATTCTATATCTGGGGGTGCCTTTTTATAGCTGTATTATAATTGTATGAAGCATTCCAGTTGACTGAATTGCGGCTGACATGGCTGACGTCAGTGTGTTTTTGCGTGTTAAACGCGATGCATTCATGTGGGCATGACATACGCACAATCTGTGACCGCTGAACTAGGTCGGATAACGAGGGCTTAAGCGCAGTTGGTCTTAGTTCGTCGTAGTTAATGTACGTTTGCATTACGATTTGTAACTAATGCAGCTCTATTGACATAAATGTTAACGCCATTCCTCTCTCGGCCATTTTAGAAGCGCCAGGATCTCTCCAGTCGTACGGGGGGCATGGGTGGCCCAGTCGTCTAAGGCGCCGCGATTCGCTGTGCAGACCTATGATTGTGGGTTCGAATCCCGGTTCTCCCCGATTTTGTTTCTAGGTTTGTCATACCCGTGCTCGTGGGTTTCACCGAAGTGGTAAACGTCTAAGACCTGCGTCACTTTGGGCTTTCCTCCCACATTAAGCTGACACGCCGCGATATAACTGGAATACTGTTAAAAGCGGCGTTAAACCGAACTCCCTCACTCGCTCACTCTCAAGTCGTACATTGGGGAACGGCCAAGAGTGTCATTCCCATCTACAGACTCCGGCGAGGTCGCGGTGATAAGTCACAACACCAGTAAGAAAGAGCTATACAGCAAATGCCCTGCCACCATTTGTATTGTACACTGCAGCTGTTGGGGGTGTTCCAGGAAATGTACAGGTCTTTAGCTGTATATAGTACTTTATATGTTACATACAGATAAGCGTGAACCCCATATAGTTAAATCCTACACAGGCACATGGGAACGTGGCAACACTACGTGACAATATTGAACTATTGCACCTAGGTGGTATTTGTCATTGCTTCATATATACCACCAAGGTACAATAGTTCCACATTACTCCATGCTTAGGTGCAAGAGTTCCAAATTATCCCATGCTGCAACATATACTTTTTGTAGCTTGGTGGTATATATGAAGCATGGGATAATGTTGAACTTTTGCACCTGGGTGGTATATATTAAGTATGGGATAATGTGGAACTATTGCACCTTGGTGGTATATATATAGCATGGGATAATGTGGAATTATTGTACCTTGGTGGTAAAAGTTAAGCATGGGATAATGTGGAACTATTGCACTCTGGTGGTATAAGTTAAGCATAGGATAATGTGGAATTATTGTACCTTGGTGGTATAAGTAAAGCATAGGATAATGTGGAATTATTGCACCTTGGTGGTATATATTAAGCATGGGATAATGTGGAACTATTGCACGTTGGTGGTATATATTAAGCATTGGATAATGTGGAACTATTGTACCTTGGTGGTATATATTAAGCATGCGATAATATGGAACTATTGCACAAGCCGCCATTTTGAAGCTCTCATATTGATTATTTCGGCATAAATGAGAATTCACAGTCTCACTTCAACAGGGCAAAAGAACCTTTATTTGCATATTTGCATATTTGCATATGTATAGCATATGTATTCAAGTTATGTAGTGTCACGCGGAAAAACATTGTCACCTTGCTTAGTGTATTTAATACTCCACTTTAGATACGGATATGTTTATATTTCTATGCTACATAAACAGATTCTCATAAAATGTAAATAGAATGACATAATTATCTTGGTGCCTTTGTACAAAGCGATCTTAGCGATCGTAACTCCCATACCTAAACATAGATTTACGACACCTGTTGAAAAAGTTAAGTGGTAGGTTAAAGTGTTCCAGTTAGTTCATGGAATCTCTATCAAGCTAATTCTTCGAATGGATCCAGCGTTTCGTGGAATCATTACCATTCGTTGTTTGGGTCAGTGCCAAACATATCTAGAAGTGACAGTGCCAAACATACCTAGAAGTGACAGTGTTTTGAGTCAAAGGCTCGCTCGTCACGTGCAATATGCAAAACATGCTCTCTCTCTCCCCTTCCTCCTCTCTCTCTCTTTCTCCCCTCTTCCTCCTCTCTCTCTTAACCCCCCTCCCCTTTCCTTCTCTCAGTGGGGCGGTCGGGTAGCCTAGTGGTTAAAGCGTTCGCTCGTCACGCCGAAGCCCCGGCTTCGAATCCCGACATGGGTACAATGTGTGAAGCCCATTTCTGGTGTCCCCCGCCGTGATATTGCTGGAATATTGCTAAAAGCGGCGTAAAACCAAACTCACTCACTCCTTCTCTCAGTGGGTTCAATGCATATTGAACAAAGACCGCGTGATCTAAACTATCTCACCTGTGTAAACATGCGTGTGACCTCATACTTTAGCGACACGTGATGTTATTGTGCACATGCAGCCGTATTACCAACTGCCACATATATACTTATATTCATACCCTAACCAGGCCTTTTACATACGAAGCAGTGTCCTACCATGAAGGCATTTGGGGTGTGCAATTTACGTGGAAAGCGAAACAGAAACTGCAATATGCTCCTTATATAGCGATATATGGGTGTATGTGTACATGTGTGATATGGAACTACATGTATGCGGTCAGGATGACACCTATATGATAACGACGTGTAAGGTTAAACCGAACAGGGAGGTTTCCAGGTACTACTCGACGTTTATCTAGAATATTGGGAGCTGTGATATCCTGTGTGCCGTTATTTAGCTCAGTTGGACAACAGATATTGTCCTGGCCACCCTTACAGATCTGGGATAGTAGTACCCTCGTCGCTCTCGGATAGTAGTACCCTCACAGCTCTCGGATAGTAGTACCCTCGTAGCTCTCGGATAGTAGTATCCTCACAGCTCTCGAATAGTAATACCCTCACAGCTCTCGGATGCTAGTAACCTCGCAGCTCTCGGATAGTAGTACTCTCACAGTTCTCGGATAGTAGTACCCTCACAGCTCCCGGATAGTAGTACCCTCACATCTCTCGGATAGTAGTACCCTCACAGCTCTCGGATAGTAGTACCCTCGCAGCTCTCGGATAGTAGTACCCTCAAATCTCTCAGATAGTAGTACCCTCGCAGCTCTGGGATAGTAGTACCCTCGCAGCTCTCGAATAGTAGTACCCTCGCAGCTCTCGGGTAGTAGTACCCTCACAGCTCTCGGATAGTAGTACCCTCGCAGCTCTGGGATAGTAGTACCCTCACAGCTCTCGAATAGTAGTACCCTCGCAGCTCTCGGATAGTAGTACCCTCACAGCTCTCGGATAGTAGTACCCTCACAGCTCTCGAATAGTAGTACCCTCACATCTCTCGGATAGTAGTACTCTCACAGCTCTCGGATAGTAGTACCCTCGCAGCTCTCAAATAGCAGTACCCTCACAGCTCTCGACTAGTAGTACCCTCACAGCTCTGGGATAGTAGTACTCTCACAGATCTCGGATAGTAGTACACAGCTGACAGGGTGTACTTTCTGTCGCGTTTTCACGAGTTATTTGGGAATATGATTACCCGTGATCATAATCAGAGTTGCGTCCCTGTAGACGAACAAGGATCCGGTGATCGTTGGATAAGGATCGTCGGCTTGTCAGCCCTTAAGTGGCGGATCCAGGGGAGGGGTGAGGTGGCGGTGGGTTGTGTCGGCCTGAGGGTGGCCCCTCCCACCCCCCCCCCCACTCCCCACCCACCCACCCCCCCCCACCCCCCAACACACACACACCTTTATTTATTTTTTTACATCTGATGACATTTTGTATGCGCATTACATACCATGATAACATGATAGACACAATTTTATGGATAACAACTTCTTTAATACTGTGAAGTTTAAGTTGTTATCCATAAAATTGTGTCTATCTTGTCATCCGTCAACTTCTTAGTAATGCCTATCAAACAGTCCATGATAACATGTTGATTTGGATCTTAAAATAAAATTAATAATGGGTTAAATAACGCGTTTATGATATTTTGGGTAGACCTTTGAGTGACCCCCTGAGAACGCGCATGCACACACACACACACACACACACACACACACACACACACACACACCTCATACACTTCCTTTAACTTATTAATTCATTAGTAAAAATAGCATACATTTCATGACAATAATATCTCAAATACGGGTCATGTATTTATAGAACAAAGCTGGTCGTATATCAGAAAAGATGTGAAACCGCGGAAAATCCTGTCTGCTATACAATCCGATATGCGGTATTGCATTGGATGTGTGCCATGCTTCGGGTTTTCCCGGAGATTCCAGTTAGCCAATCAGAGAGCTAGTTTCCGATGAGACGAACAGCAGCCGGACGTGTTGGTGCTACACATAGACTAACATTGAATGAAAATGAACTGATTGCGATTGATTGAATCAACACTCATACGAGTAGCAGTAGCACAATCAATAACAACTGCACAGCCGGGACTGCCAAACAGATATTTTCACATATCCACACATGATGAATAACTGACACTTCGAGTTTCAGGGTTCATCTGCTTGAGAACTCAGTAGGTTATGTTCCTGCGTGCACAGCTAGAGCACCAAATACACTGCGCATTTGCGTTAAAATACGTAAAATAGTTCACAAAAAAAAACGAATTAATTTTGAGTCACTTCTGTAATGTTTTATAAACCCAATAGTGTTACAACAGTGCAGCTTTTTCAGCTTGCGTACTCGAATATCTTGACACATCCTTATTCACTGATCGAATGCAGGCATCGCCTGTACATAAACTCTACTGCAGTGAATGCTGCACAAAGCGACGTCCCGCTTATTGCAACTGACGCATGTATCGCTGTTGTGAGCTTTGGCGACAATCTGACACATGTGGGCAACACATTAACAGAGGAAAATTAGTTACAGGAAACAGCAGATAAGGTAGAGTTATTTTTAAAATGTCAACTTGTTGGTTTGAGAATACTTAATAGACTGTATCGAAGGGAGTAAATTTAATACCCAAGGAAAATGATCAAATACCCACTGTGAATGACAAGTATGACAATTAAGTGAGTAAATACTTAATGGCTAAACATGTATCTAGAGACATATCTGCCCCAACAGTATCAGGAAGAAGAAGAAGAAGAAGAAGAAGAAGAAGATTAACAACCCTGCTGAGTCGCTTGGGTGAAGTCGACTGTCCTGAAAAGTGAAACAGATCGAAGGCTTTCTGTTTGCTGCTCAGGACCAGTCACTTCCCACTCGAAACAGTCAACGTGTGATTTTGCATCAAGATGTAAATATGAAATGTAGATTATACAATGAATTTAATGAGACTGTCCATCACATTGTCAGTGGATGTCCTGCTTGGGTCCCATTCGCTGTCTGGGCTGCGTGTAGAGCGGACGAGGGCCCTGAGCTGATGATGAGCCTACCCTGCATAGCTGACTGTGCCAGGATCACCCAAATCCTCTTTGCTTCATTTTTTTAAATATCTGAAATAATAATAATAATAATAATAATAATAATAATAATAATAATAATAATAATAATAATAAACAGAACCTCCCATCCCAACACTAAAGGGGTTCTTTTTCCAATTTGAGAATGTCAGATTATCAACCTTTCGTTTACATAATGCAAATTAATTAATGTCGCTAAGCAACACAATGAGGGATAAGCACTTTGTTGTTCATTCAACAGCGAACATAATACGGTTAATTGGTCTCGTCAAAGTACACTTACTCTCTTTAACTGGTTCTAACAAACCTGCTAATTAGTATCAGACTAACAGGTGCCAAACACAGGTGAAGAAACGGGTGAACGCATTGGATCACGGTAAACAAGATGAACCACAATCAATACTAACGAGTCATTTACAAGTAATTAAGTCTTTGTCTGCTACCCGCCCTTGTCATAGTAATACTCTCAGAGGAACTGAAACAGTCGATGCACAGTTGGTTTTATCGACATTGTGTCACGTGAATGAATAGTGTTGCCTTTTCATAGCTTGACAGCATTTTCATGTCATGCCCTCCAACAAAACGTAGCTGTGAGATTCAGACACTATAATACATCCACATTTGCTGCGTCGTTTCCTGCATGCGCAGGTCGTGTGAAGCGTCTGTAAAAGCAATTGTCGGAGATTACCGAAGTCACCCGAAAGAGAAATTACCTTGGATTCAAGATGGCGGAATAATGTTGTTTATCTGTCGTGGACAAAATATTACCCTATCTGACCGGTGACATGTTCGAGATCTGACATCGGCACTAAGGTAAGTCTGTCATTATTGCTGTAAAATGTAGGATTGTTTATCAGCGGGCAATGGACATGTGTTTGAATACTCTGCGATGTGTTTTCCGAAAATAGAGAGTCAGTGTCAGTGTCACTAGGGCTGTACGTTTTATATCTACCTCGATATCTACATTGGCCTAATCATTTTCACTTTGATTATTTTCAAACTATTTAATACATTATGTTTGTGTTTTGGTATTTTTCAATGATTGTGCATGCCTGTTATTCTCGTTATATTCTTTTATTCAAATTCCTTTCCGTCTTGTCGCAGGTGCACGCTTACCATAAGGTAAGGGTGCAGGGTTACGTAGTATTGACTATACCAGAGTAAATAAAACTAGTATAACACTCTCATGGATGTGTACTGGGTCCTTGCATTGAAACGAATATTGATGGCTTGCACAGTATGTTCCGAGCTTGTATTTTGACATTATTTTCATTTTTGATAATGATAATGAAGAAGATGGACATGTATATATGAACATATTTACTGAAAAGAGGAAATACAATATAAATCACCTATCAAATACTATGTAAATAAACCCTATATTTACTTATATCTCTGAAAAGAGGAAATGTAAATACATCACTAATAAAATACCATGTTTTGCTGAGGTGCCGTTTTAGCCTGCACCCGATATTGATAACTTCTCCCCCATCATCATCATCATCATCATCATCATCATCATAAACAATCTCAGCTATACATGTAAAACAAGTGGTGAAAAGGCTTGTCAGAAATAACCAACGAGGATCCGTTTTTTGCAGTGTGTGACCTCACTGTTGGTCATTGCACCACATTGGCATAATGTACATGGTTCATTACACGTTGCCTATTGGTTTTACCTGCAGCCCCATGGTCTAGTGGATAGTTTGATCACTGCCTGTGTCATACCTAAAGAGTAAAGACGTTTAGAGATTGTACTTTTTTTTAACCTGGCGCTCTGCATAAGGTGATAAAACAAGGACTGGTCGGCTCAGAGTCAATATACTGTGTCTGAGTTGGGTATTCATGTTAACTGTGGTGTGGCATAGCACTGTAAAACCGGTATTATTCTGGACTTCTAAAAGCAGCCACACACATGCATGCGACTCAACCTAGTTACTTGCAGTTTGAGACCTGTGAAGATCCGGGTTAGAATGGGTCTTCAGCAACCCATGCTTGCCGTAAAAGACCACTATGCTTGTCGTAAAAAGGCGACTAACGGGATCGGGTGGTCAGGCTCGCTGACTTGGTTGATGCATGTCATCGTTTCCAACTACAAGGATCGATGTCATAATGTCAATCACTGGATTGTCTGGTACAGACTCGATTATTTACAGACCCCTGTCACACAGCTGGAATATTGATGAGTGCGGCATAAAACAACCAACCAACCAACCAAGCATTTAAGTTTAAGAAACAACAGAGAGCTTGGAATTTGGCGCTTTTCTATATATGACTGTGACGTCATATCTTTTGCGTCACAATGAGCGATATGACATCATAATGGTGATGTGCAATGTGGAGTGAAAGCCTTGCAACATGTGCAAAGCTTGCTTTGTTTTCTTTAGGGATGCCCACCTCATGTTTGCTTACTGAGTTTCCGTGCTTCTATGCTTTCAATGCCTGTCATATGTTCGAGTGAAGTATTATGGTGTGAACAAACTGCTTGAGTATATACAGCGCCATATTTTGTTCGGTGATTCCATAATTCAGATCGATAACCCACTCAAAACACTGGACTCAGCCAATGCTGCTTCACTCAGTATATTTGTTAACACCAAAGAGTTCTCGTTTTATTTAGTCAAGGTAGAATGGAGATAAACATACTGTGTTTATCTCCTAATTGTTACACAGTTTGTGAGATTGTGATACGCTATAAATAGAACAGGAACTAATAGAGTTACCTCCCATAATGGCAGAGGTAGCATAGAGGCACTATAAGCATGGCAGAACACAATTTTTGGCCCAGTCGTCTAAGGTGCCGCAATCTCTGTGAAGAGTTGTGTCCCTTTGGCACGCCAGAAACCTATGATTGTGGATTCGAATCCCGGTTCACCCCGATTATGTTTCTAGGTTTGTCAGCACCATACCCGTGCTTGTGGGTTTCACCGAAGTGGTAAACGTCTGAGACCTGCATCACTTCAGGCTTTTCTCCCATGTCAAGCTGAGACACTGTGATATAACTGGAACACTCTTAAAAGCGGCGTTAAACCCAACTCACTCACTCTCTCACTCATTTTGAAGTCTTATCTCTGTGGTATATCTTATCAACTGAAGTACTCAATATCACCAACAAGGTTCAATATTAATACAAAGAATGAACGCTTAATTTCAAGGCTGCCAACTGTCATTTTCAAGGCTTTTTTTGTTGTGTTATTATCCTTAGTCTGTCATTATTGTATTAAATCCAGCACACTGTATATTAGTCATAAGGTCTAAAAAGCAGTATGACCATCAAACATTTTCCAAAAAGATTCATTTTGCACCCAACAAAAAAATAAATCATGAATTGTTCAGGGTCTTTGGCACACAAATCTATCACTGTGATAAAGCTCCCTTAAACATCTTTGGTACATATTTGTGTGTGCTTTGACAAGTATATGTCATTTTGTACAAATTCAAGGCTTTTCAAGCTATTTTGGTGATTTTCAAGGATTTTCATGAGGTACCTTCAAATTCAAGGTTTTTTTCAAGCCTATACGAGTCCTGACCAGTGATGCAGCAAGTAGTAGATTTTCAACTCAATTTGGCCATGCCGCTCCTGGCGGGGAGGGAGGTAGGGGAAGGTTCTGGGGTGAAATAGCTTGCATTTTCATGATGCATATGGTTGTTGTATTAGCCGATAAAAGAGCGTTTCGTGGTCAGTTGATTTAGTTGGTTGGGTGTCCGTCTGAAAGTTTGCAACATTACAAACAATATTATCAACCACAGGTTTGTTTATTCATATTATCAACCACAGGTTTGTTTACTCATTTTTTCAACCAACGGTTTGTTTACTCATATTATCAACCACAGGTTTGTTTACTCATATTATCAACCACAGTTTTGTTTACTCATTTTTTTCAAACCAAAGGTTTGTTTACTCATTTTATCAGCCACAGGTTTGTTTAGTCATATTATTAACGAAAGGTTTGTTTACTCATATTATCAACCAAAGGTTTTTTTACTCATATAATCAACCACAGGTTTTTTTACTCATTTTATCAACGACATGTTTGTTTACTAATATCATCTACCAAAGTTTGTTTACTCATATTAACAACAACAGGTTTTTTTTACTCATAGTATCAACCACATGTTTGTTTACTCATACTATCAAACAAAGGTTTGTTTACTCATATTATCGACCAACGGTTTGTTTACTCTAGGTCTCAACCACAGGTTTGTTTACCTGACTGTAATTTACAGGCCACTGTGATATAAGCTTTACACAATGCATCAACATTCTCTCTCTTATCCCTGTCATGCCATTCTCCACCATATCTCCTGTTTCAGGTGGAGCGATGGAGCCAGAGTATTACCAGGAGAGCAGTCGCCGGAATGGCTGGTCCCTCCCGCCGCATCCCCTGCAGGGCGTGGCCTGGCTGGTGGTCATCTACTTCATCATCATCTACTTCACCACCCTCGTCCCCGTCCTACCCACGGAGTGGCAGCCGGCGGGATATATCGTATCTTTTACTCTACATCAGATTACCACTCTTTTAACATGTTGAACAGGTCACTAGATCAGGATGTACTTTGCTTGCTTGTTTTGAATGTTTACATCAGTGAGTTGGTTGGTTGGTCAGCAATATTCCAGCTATATGACGGCGGTCTGTAAATAATCGAGTCTGGACCAAACAATCCAGTGATTAATATCATGAGCATCAATCCACGCAATTGGGATCGATGAAATTTATCAACCAAGTCAGCGAGCCTGACCACCCGATCCCGTTAGTCGCCTTTTACGACAAGCATAGTCGCCTTTTACGGCAAGTATGGGTTGCTGAAGACCTAATCTACCCCGGAATCTTCACGGGTCGACATCAGTGAGATTATGTCATATTTTACTGATTTGGTATTGTGTCTTGACCATGATACAGCATGGCCATTATCAGACTATACCACTGTTTGGAATAATTTTAAAACCCAACAAGGCAGTCAGGCAGGTGACCCATAAGTGTTGCCTGCCCATCTTCAAAGTTACTTGCCCGCATTCAGACATTATAAATATTTAATATCGTAAAAACATAGGAGACAAATTGCATCTTGATTCTGTTGAAATAATGCAAACTATGACTTGAGAATCTACAAGGAGTTATAATAAAAGTGAATATGTAAGTATTCTTAAATTATCATCCAGGCAGTCGGGCAGGTTGAGGAAAATTTCATGCAGCCCAACAGAAAAGTTACCAGCCACAGGCAGGTGGGCTACCAGTTATTTCAGACTTTGGACTATACCCAGTGTTCGAAATACCTGCCTGCCCGACCGTCCGAGACGGGTTATATTTCATATGTGAAAATATTCAAAATATATCCCGATGATAAGCATTAATTCACATGTAAAGATGACTGATAAAATGTAACCAAAAAGAAACCCCGTTAGCTTATCCAGAGAAACATATGATTATAGTGGGCAGGCAGGTTTTGGTCAGGGCTGGCAAGTATTTCAGTCCTGTGGTCTGGCTGAAACTTTTGGGAGTTTCATACCCTGCTATACCAATTTATTACTTTGTATACTGGCAATGACGAGGTGAGCAAGATGAAAGAATTGGCTAAGTAATTTGGTAACATTGTTGAAAATACAATAAACTTTGTCTTAATTAATTACAGAATGTCGGTATCTTCATGTGCTCACAAGTCCAATCGGGACTGTTGATGAAGTTACCTAAAAGCCATTTGCAAAGCATTCTGCAATGCTTGGTTATTTTTATTTCGACTTGTAAAGCAAACTAATGATTTCTCGTTAACATTGGTTATCGTAAGGTGTGTTTAGACATGTATAAATATTCTGCTGCTCTGTCAATAAAATTATGAACTAAAACATAACAGATATAATAGCGCTGATACAGATGACGCAAGTGAAGTATTAGGTGACTTGCTCTGCCAGAAACAGTATGTAGAAGGGCCTTTTCAAAGCTGAATAGGGGCGGTCGGGTAGCCTAGTGGTTAAAGCGTTCGCTCGTCACGCCGAAGACCCAGGTTCGATTCCCGACATGGGTACAATGTGTGAAGCCCATTTCTGGTGTCCCCCGCCGTGATATTGCTGGAATATTGCTAAAAATGGCGTAAAATCAAACTCACTCACTCAAAGCTGAATATGAAAAATTGCTGGTTACCCTGCTTGAATAATGATGCCAAAATAATGAAGCAGTTATGATACAAGTTTAAATCCTTTTAGATCAGTTTCACTAAAACGAGGAGCAAAACACTTTCAGATGGAGATTCTACAGTGGCACGAAACAAACGGTGGAATATGGTCACCTGCATGTAAAGATTAGTGACAAGATGGATATGTGTGAGGCTTGATATGAACTTGTAGTTTGGCTGCGATGCTTCAGATTTCCAGGTGGCCTGTGTCACTGACCCAAGAAATAACAAATGACCATCCATTCCTGAGCTGTATACTAAGTGTCCCCTTGGAACTGAACAAGGCAGATCCAGCATTTTAAAAAAGGAGGGGTCCAAAATACTAATATCTAATTACTGCCAAAAAATGCTACATATGGATTTTGTTTTTAAAAGGGGATGTCCAGACCACACCTTTCCGGCGTCTTCCTCCTCCCCCTCCAACCCCCTCCCCCCCCACACACACACCCACACCCCCTCTATGGTGGAGAGATACATGACCTATAAGTATTAAATACATCAGTTTGTCATGTGCAGACCTAGGTTAGAAAATGTCCCTTTCATCCCATTTCTTGGTGTAAGAAGAAACAAAATTGGATTGGGTCAGTTCATCACATGGGGATCTTGGTTAGAAAGGGTCCCTTTGATCCTATCTCTTGAGGTAAGAAGAAACTAAATTGGATTTGGTCAGTTTGTCACATGGGGATCTCTTTTAGAAATGATTACTAGCAGCCTATTTCTTGGTGTAAGAACAAAAATGATTGAGTGGTAAGGCTCAGTGATTTGGTCAATTGCACGTCACAGAACCTGAAATTGTTCGAGGTATCTCGTAATATCAACCACTGGCTGAGACTCGAATATTTAAAGGCCAATGAGAAAAAGCTTGCGTATTACTGACTGCAGCATTAACAACAGTAATCAAACAACATGGTAATGGGTCAGTTTCTAGTATTGTTGTTGATCTCCCTGTTCTGTTGTTCCTTGACGCCCTCAGATTAATGGCCTGGCGTGTCTGGTGCATGTCTTCACGCACTTCATCGCCACTCTCATCAACCCAGCGGACGAAGCTGTTCTCCGGGCAAACTTCAACGACAAGATGCCAACATTTGACAGAAAGAAACGAAGACATGTTATTGAGAATCAACACTGTTATTTGTGCCGTGTGAATGTGTAAGTGAATTGCTTGTCATCGCTAATGTAGAGTATCTGAACCAGACTAAATCATACGTTAATAATGTGTAATTAGTTTACTGGGCAAATAGCAACACCTTTCATGGTTTCAGCAGTGATATTAATGTGTGATAGGATATTTAATATTACGTTAGGTGTCACAATAACATCTTTAATCTTCTTAATAACTAACACTGTGAGGAGGAGGGAGTGTGTCTTGAGATATATTTTGGTGTTCTCTTAAGGACCCTTCAATATGTTGTGTAATTAATTTTTGACGTATGATTTTGACTAGGACCTCTCAAATTATATCCATAATATTGCTTGAATGAGTTGGGTTTAACGCCGCTGTGAACAGTATTCCAGTTATATCACGGCGTGTTAGCTTAATGTGGGAGGAAAGCCCGAAGTGATGCAGGTCTTGGACATCTATAACTTTGGTGCTGACAAACCTAGAAACATAATTCTGCCAATCAGCATTCAAACCCTCAATCATAGGTTTCTGGCATGTCCAAGGGACGTAACTCTGCACAGTGAATTGCAGCACCTTAGACGACATTGAATGAAGTTTGATATTCATCTGCGAAGTGTCATGATTATTTTAATGTTATTATACAGTAAAGTACGGTTATAACGAACTCAAGGGGACTTCTAATTTTAGTTTGTTATAACCGTAGTTCGTTATAAGCATATATACAGCATTACTACAGCAAATAGTCAGGACCAAAAAAGTAAGTTCGTTATATTGTTCGTTATAAGCGTGTTCGTTATAACCGTAGTTTACTGTATTTAATTTCTGCTCTAATATCAAAATTAACTGACATGATTAAGACACACAAGTTCAGCATAGACCACATGGGCTGCCACAGAGTGTCAGCATTCGTCAACTCCTGCTGTTGAAACTCCACATGTGTTTGTGTTTCAGTGGGTCCAAGTCCAAGCACTGCAGTGCCTGCAACAAGTGTGTGTCCGACTTTGATCACCACTGTAAGTGGCTCAACAACTGTGTCGGCGGCAGGAACTACAGGTCAGTCTCCTAGAGAGTCAGTGAATGAATGCGGCGTGATGCAGCAGTCAGCAATATTCCAGCAATATTCCAGCAATATCACGATGGCTGTAGTGATTGAGTGGTTATGGTTTTGTGCCGTTTTTAGCAATATTCCAGCAACATCACAGCAGGGGACACCAGAATTTGGGCTTCACATGTTGTACCCATGTGGGGAATCGAACCCGGGCCTTCAGCATGACGAGAGAATGCTTTGACCCCTAGGCTACCCCACTGCCCTCACGATTGCTGTAAGAAATCGATCAGGCAAACCATAGACTGAGAGCATGAACACCGAGCTACACTGCTAGGGCATGATGACACAGAATCAGCCAAATCACAGCCTAACCAATAGATCCTCTTTAATCGGATCTTAAGACAAGCATTGTTGCTTTGAGAAAATATGCTGGTAGGATTTGACTGCTCAACTGAACTATCATATGTCAGTGTGTTATTGCTTCAGCAAATGAGACAGTCATCACTATGATACAGCCAAGAATCAAGGCTTTATTGTTTCTAGTCGTTTACGGTGTGTTACTAATGCGATTGAGTTGCATGGCAGTATTTGTTGATCTTCATGATAATTACATCATAGTACAAATATGACATCATCATCATCATCATCATCATCATCATCGTTATGTCATGAATTGGTATCTGTATGTGAAGTAGTTGTCATGAAGTAGTATCAGTATGTGAAGTGAGTGAGTGAGTTAAAATTTAATGCTGCATCGGCATAATTTCAGCCATATAGCGACCAGTATGTGAAGTAGTTGCCCTGAAAGGAGTACTGTATGTTCATTAGTTGTCATGAAGTGGTGTCTGTATGTGAAGTGGTTGTTATGAAGTAGTGTCAGTATGTGAAGTAGTTGCCCTGAAAGTAGTACTGTTTGTTAATTAGTTGTTATGAAATAGTATTTGTATATGAAGTAGTTTCCCTGAAAGTAGTACCATATGTTAGTTAGTTATCATGAAGTGGTATCTGTAACTAAAGTATTTATCTTGACCTGGTATAATTATGTGAACAAGTTGTCAAGAAGTAGTATCTGTGTGTTGATAAATTGTCATGAAGTAGTATTTTGAGGTCTTCAAGAAGTAGTATGTCATAAATTACTCATAATCACACGTAAGTAAGTTTCATATGTTATCTGAATGTGAGGTAGCTGTCAAGAAGTATTACTGTCTGTGAGGTAGTCGTCAAGAAGTAGTATTTTGTGTGCAGATGGTTCCTAGCCACGCTGGTGAGCGGAGGAGTGGGATGTCTGCTGATTCTGTGTGTGTGTCTGGTACAGTTCATCGGATTCTACACAGATGAGAAAGATGGACGTCTCCTGCAGCCATACAGAGGTACACACTGTTATTGGAGACTATACTGAGGATATTAATATTTCCTGGCTAATCATGCTAATACCATGTTCATCTCATTGAACGCTTGGTAAAAGTATATTTTCATTAGCTGCACAGCCACAAATGAAAGCATTTTGCACTTTACTCATTCATAAGAACAATACCTTTTCTTTTCTTTTGGCCTTGACTATATTGATAGACGTTCATGTAAGTATTTACTTTCAAGTTCCCTGTGCTTTGGTTTATGAGCATCATTGAGTTCACTGTTAATGCTTTCAAGAGGCCAAACATTTACTTTCTTTTTTTGTTTTGCACTCTTGAATTGATTAATAGGGCTTTCAGGTAAATTGTCCCGGCTGATGCTTGATGAATATGCTGGACCTGGCTATTACTGGGATTTGTTATGTTATGTATTGTACATGCATTAAGTGTTTCCTGTAATCTCCCATTATACGCACTGAGTTACCTCCCTTTGTATGAGATTCTGTACTTCACATGGCTGCTAGATAAACAATAAATACAGGATGCACACCTGCAAGACCTGCACAACCTGCACACAATGTTAACTATTACAGATGTTATTTTTCAGGGCAGCAATTGAATGACGATGGCCTTTGAAGGTTCTTCTATTGACAAAATTCTGATGTTGTATTCAGTTGTTTGCAGACATGACATGTAACATTTGTAACCATGGTAACTTGGGATAAAAAAGGTAATAATTTTGTTTGCTTTATTTCCAGGCAACCATTCCATAGCTGGTATGTACACAAACATTTGAACATTAATAAAGAAATCGTTATCATTGGAAACTATAATTACTGTAATTGTATTTCATTATGCAAGTATTATTTTGTCCATAGTGACAGGAATACAAGGATTTAAAGAATATATTGTAATTTGAATAAGAATTTTATAATTTTGAATAATTTAATTTTATAAAGTAAGGAAAGGGTAAAATAATTTCTTTTTTATTTGATAAAAACTTCAAAGCACCAAAAAAGCAGGGTTTGTTAGTCGGAATGTCATCACTTGTTTTTTTTCAATATGTCTTTCCACAATACAGAGTTCGAGATACTGCACCAGAAAGTTGACAAGGAAGGCTGGCTTGCTCTTGTGGGGATCACAGGCCTGCTGGCTTTCATCGCAGTCGCACTGCTCACACATCTCTTCAGCTTCCATGTCTACCTCAGTAAGTGTCCTACATTTTACCTTGCTCTGACACCCCTAGTACAATAACATCCATGCTGATCTGCACTGGCCTTCACAAGCTCTGTCAGACGGGTGATAACACGACAGAAGATCATGGACCATTTCATGCCTTCTACTATCCAAACAAGTTATCCTAAAGTACCCCAAACATTTCCCTTGACAGGGTGTTTTGTACAAAATCTGTAAGCGGGAGAACTGAATAGTTCATCCTGTCGCTGTTGGAGCACACAGTTGCCTCAATTCGCTGTGCAGAGTTGTGTCCCTTGTGCATGCCAGCAACCTAAGATCGTGGGTTCAAATCCTGGCTATGTTTCTAGGTTTGTCAGCTCCATCGACGTGCCCACGGGGTTCACCAAAGTGGCACATTTATGCATGGATTACTCTGTGAACATTTAGGGGGCACAGGTGGCCCAGTAGTCTAGGGCGCCGCGATTCGCTGTGCAGAGTTGTGTCCCTTGGGCACGCCAGAAACCTATGATTGTGGGTTCGAATCCCGGTTTGCCCCGATTATGTTTCTAGGTTTGTCAGCACCATCCCCGTGCTCATGGGTTTCACCGAAGTGGTAAACGTCTGAGACCTGCATCACTTCGGGCTTTCCTCCCACATTAAGCTGACACGCCGTGATATAACTGGAATACTGTTAAAAGCGGCGTTAAATACAACTCACTCACTTACTGTGAACATTTAAGTTTTTACAAAAACAGTTGCTTTCCATCTTTGGCAATTGATACGATTGATGATAACAAGTCTGTTTGGGTAAATTTAAACTTTATTTCATCACAGTTGTTCGTGTCAGATGTTTCATGACAATTTTCGTTTTGATAATCGTTAATATTTCTTCCCATCAATGATAATTCTGATTATCTATCTTTTTTACCCAGCCCTAGCCTCCATACTTAATTTCTATGTTGTGATGCACTGACAGCAACATGAATGTGTTCACGGCCTGCCTGTGTTGCAGTGTGCAAGGGCCTGAGTACGTACGACTACATCGTGATGCAGCGGGAGGACCTGAAGGATGCGGAGGAGTACCAGGAGTACACCAGCAACAAGCAGCGGCTGCAGCAGCAGCAGGCCAAGGCCGCCAAGAAGGTAACACCGGCTCTTGAGTCTTGTTTTGTCCCCACCATGCCTGTGCTCCTGAGTTTCATCATGGTTGTCAGCATCTGAGATCTGCACCTTTTGGGCTTTCCTCCCACATCAAGCTGACACGCCTCTGTATGACAGAAATACTGTTCGAAGCGGTGATAAGCCTAAATAACTGATTCACTCGCAATTTACTACAGAAGTTTGATAACCTTTATGCTGCAAATATTCCTCCAACTTCTGTCCTTTCATTCTCATAACCATGTTAACATAGAATGACACACATATTGCCTATTGGCTACAAAGCAGTTTGAGTCTTGCACCTGTCATATTTCCAATTCTGGACAGACTGATAGTAGTTCTGTGGTGGTTGTAGCTCTGTGATGGTTGTAGTTCTGTAGGAGTTGTAGCTCTGTGATGGTTGTAGCTCTGTGATGGTTGTAGTTCTGTGGTGGTTGTAGTTCTGTGATGGTTGTAGTTCTGTGGTGGTTGTAGTTCTGTGATGGTTGTAGTTCTGTGATGGTTGTAGTTCTGTGGTGGTTGTAGCTCTGTGATGGTTGTAGTTCTGTGATGGTTGTAGCTCTGTGATGGTTGTAGTTCTGTGATGGTTGTAGTTCTGTGATGGTTGTAGTTCTGTGATGGTTGTAGTTCTGTGGTGGTTGTAGTTCTGTGATGGTTGTAGTTCTGTGATGGATGTAGTTCTGTGATGGTTGTAGTTCTGTGATGGTTGTAGTTCTGTGATGGATGTAGTTCTGTGATGGTTGTAGTTCTGTGGTGGTTGTAGTTCTGTGGTGGTTGTAGCTTTGTGGTGGTTGTAGCTGTCATGAATGTAGCTCTTTGGTGGTTGTAGCTCTGTTGTGGTTGTAGCTGTGATGGATGTAGTTCTGTGGTGGTTGTAGTTCTGTGATGGTTGTAGTTCTGTGATGGTTGTAGCTCTGTGGTGGTTGTAGCTGTGATGGATGTAGTTCTGTGATGGTTGTAGCTCTGTGGTGGTTGTAGTTCTGTGGTGGTTGTAGCTCTGTGGTGGTTGTAGCTCTGTGATGGTTGTAGCTTTGTGATGGTTGTAGTTCTGTGATGGTTGTAGCTCTGTGGTGGTTGTAGCTCTGTGATGGTTGTAGCTCTGTGATGGTTGTAGCTCTGGTGGTTGTAGCTCTGTGATGGTTGTAGTTCTGTGATGGTTGTAGTTCTGTGGTGGTTGTAGTTCTGTGATGGTTGTAGTTCTGTGGTGGTTGTAGCTCTGTGATGGTTGTAGTTCTGTGATGGTTGTAGTTCTGTGGTGGTTGTAGTTCTGTGGTGGTTGTAGCTTTTTGGTGGTTGTAGCTGTCATGAATGTAGCTCTGTGATGGTTGTAGCTGGTTGATGAGTGTGGCTCTGTGATGGGTGTAGATCTGTGATGGATGTAGCTCTGTGATGGTTTTAGCTGTGTGATGGTTGTAGCTGTGATGGATGTAGCTCTGTGGTGGTTGTAGCTCTGTGGTGGTTGTAGCTCTGTGATAGTTGTAGTTCTGTGATGGTTGTAGCTCTGTGATGGTTGTAGCTGTGATGGATGTAGCTGTGATGGGTGTAGATCTGTGATGGGTGTAGCTCTGTGATGTAGCGCTGTGATGGGTATAGCTCTGTGATGGTTCCAGCTGTGTCAGTTGTGGCTGGTTGATGGGTGTGGCTCTGTGATGGGTGTAGATCTGTGATGGTTGAAGCTCTGTGATGTAGTTCTGTGATGGGTGTAGCTCTGTCATGGGTGTAGTTCTGTGATGGGTATAGCTGTGTGATGGTTTGAGCTCTGTGATTGTTGTAGTTCTGTGATGGTTGTAGCTCTGTGATAGTTGTAGTTCTGTGGTGGTTGTAGCTTTGTGATGGTTGTAGTTCTGTGATGGTTGTAGTTCTGTGGTGGTTGTAGTTCTGTGGTGGTTGAAGCTGTGATGGATGTAGCTATGTGATGGTTGTAGCTGGTTGATGAGTGTGGCTCTGTGATGGGTGTAGATCTGTGATGGATGTAGCTATGTGATGGTTGTAGCTGGTTGATGAGTGTGGCTCTGTGATGGGTGTAGATCTGTGATGGATGTAGCTCTGTGATGGTTTTAGCTGTGTGATGGTTGTAGCTGTGATGGGTGTAGCTCTGTGGTGGTTGTAGCTCTGTGATAGTTGTAGTTCTGTGATGGTTGTAGCTCTGTGATGGTTGTAGCTGTGATGGATGTAGCTGTGATCGGTGTAGATCTGTGATGGGTGTAGCTCTGTGATGTAGCGCTGTGATGGGTTTAGCTCTGTGATGGTTCCAGCTGTGTCAGTTGTGGCTAGTTGATGGGTGTGACTCTGTGATGGGTGTAGATCTGTGATGGTTTAAGCTCTGTGATGTAGTTCTGTGATGGGTGGAGCTCTGTCATGGGTGTAGTTCTGTGATGGGTATAGCTGTGTGATGGTTTGAGCTCTGTGATTGTTGTAGTTCTGTGGTGGTTGTAGCTCTGTGATAGTTGTAGTTCTGTGATGGTTGTTGCTCAATGATAGGGCTTTACTGGTTGTGGCTCTGTGGTGGTTGTAGCTGTGATGGATGTAGCTGTGATGGGTGTAGATCTGTGATGGGTGTAGCTCTGTGATGTAGCGCTGTGATGGGTATAGCTCTGTGATGGTTCCAGCTGTGTCAGTTGTGGCTGGTTGATGGGTGTGGCTCTGTGATGGGTGTAGATCTGTGATGGTTGAAGCTCTGTGATGTAGTTCTGTGATGGGTGTAGCTCTGTCATGGGTGTAGTTCTGTGATGGGTATAGCTGTGTGATGGTTTGAGCTCTGTGATGTAGTTCTGTGATGGGTATAGCTCTGTGATGGTTTTAGCTGTGTGATGGTTTTAGCCGTGTGATGGTTGTAGCTGTGATGGGTGTAGCTCTGTGATGTAGTTCTGTGATGGGTATAGCTCTGTGATGGTTCTTGCAATGTGTCAGTTGTGGCTGTGATTGTTGTAGCTCTGTGATGGGTGTAGCTCTGTTATGGGTACAGCTCTGTGATGGTTCTATCTATGTGTCAGTTGTGGCTGTGATTGTTGTAGCTCTGTCATGGGTGTAGTTCTGTGATGGGTACAGCTCTGTGATGGTTCTAGCTATGTGTCAGTTGTGGCTGTGATGGTTGTGGCTCTATCATAGTTGTAGCTCTGTGGTGGTTGTAGCTTGGATTGTTATAGCTCTCATAGGGTTGTATCTCCTAGGTAGTTAAGAAGAACTTTGCCCAGAGATTGATGTCGAGTTGCATGTGTTATAAGATGTTGCATTTCACAATCCAGAGTTGTGTCTCTTATCCACGTTAAGACCTGCTGATAGTGGGTTTCCATCGCAATTCAGATCCATTGTAAACAACATGGACTGAACTTTAGCTGAAATACTGTGTACCCTACAAACATCCAACACTCATATTCTAAATTAGGATTACATAAGGCGAGGAGCATTGTGAGAAGGATATGCACAATTGTGGTTTTTTTGTGCTTAGGAAAGGGAGGTAGTACTTGAGATTGGATAGACTGCCAATGATTGTTGTTTGTGTACAGAGTAATCGAGTGACGCCGACAAAGCCAAAGCCAGCAACGACAATAGACACTGTTGATGGCAGCCTTCACAAACAACGCAGGTATGTTCTCAGGGCCCAGTTGTCTGAGGCACCACATTGTTTGTAATGTGTGGAGTTGCCTCCCTTAGTCGTGCCAAGATCCTATGATCTTGATGATGGTGTGTATGAATCCCAGAATTGTCTTGATTTTCATCTCTGAGGCAGGGTTTTCACCAGACTCAAAATATTGCTCCCTATACACATGCAAACTTAGAATGGATTCAAATACTTCACATTGGTAATCTTGGGAAATTCAACCACAATATGTCTGCAAAGCTACAGATAACTTTTTGAGCAATTGAGTTTTTACTCCAGAGTTTCGATTCTGCTTTGGTCATTACATTCTTCATTTGGGTAACCAATATTTTTTCACTTATCTATTTATCACTGTATTGGTTTTTTCCCAAAATAAGTGAACATTTAAGGATTTACAAAACATGATAAATGTTTTACATGTATATAACTGTTCTAAATATATAGGCTTGACTCGGAAAGTAAATAAGCTCAAAATTGTGTTTTGGAAATTAGCTCCTTTGTACGCATGCTGAAAAAGCTTCATTTGGTATTTACGCCTGCTGTTTTTATACATTAGAGGGTTTTTGTAATGCATGTGTTTCTTTCTGTATGCAAGTTGATTGAAAGTAATTGGGTTTTGAATATTTTGGGGGGTATTTTACGCAAATACGCTGCTTATCTGTAGCTCTGTGTCTGTTTGATTCATTAAACCTGATCAAAGTGAAAGTTTGCAAATTCCATATCACTGGCATTTGTGTTCCACTAAGAGGCACACTCAAAGTTCAGAGTGTCACATCTTGAAGGTTGCATTAACCAGGATGAAGACGGTAGATGCTTATGACCTGCATCGCTTGGGGCTCTCCTCCCACATTAAGAAGATGTAACTGAAATAATGTTCAGTGAGGCGTTCACTACCTCTTGTCCCAAACAGTTCTAAGCATAACAAAGAAAATTTGTTTTGTTTGGCCCAGAGAAAAAAACTTTATTCATGTGGATCAATGCTTCAGGAGTTAACAAAGAAAAAAGTTACTTTCGAAATTTCAGAATGGTTCAGAACTTCAGATTCCTAATTCATGTACGTGGTGTCACAGGTTCTGTGCACAGCACACAGGTCACAAATCAGGTGAAGTTAAGCAACGTCGGTCGCGGAGAGTCCTTGGATGGATGACCGCGTTTCGGCAGCTTGGCTCCTGAGAGTTTCTAGGGCTTCAGTTCTGCCCCGCAGTGAAGCACATGTAACACACGTGGCATCTCCTTGGGCAAGTGACTTTGTTCTAAGTGTGCTTCTGTTCTGCCCTGCAGTGAAGCACATGTAACACACGTGGCATCTCCTTGGGCAAGTGACTTTGTTCTAAGTGTGCCTCTGTTCTGCCCTGCAGTGAAGCACATGTAACACACGTGGCATCTCCTTGGGCAAGTGACTTTGTTCTAAGTGTGCCTCTGTTCTGCCCTGCAGTGAAGCACATGTAACACACGTGGCATCTCCTTGGGCAAGTGACTTTGTTCTAAGTGTGCCTCTGTTCTGCCCTGCAGTGAATGGGTAGCCGGTAGGATGAGATGGCAATGTGGTTGTTAACCTTCTAACGCAGCTTGGGTTGTATAGGGGGCTGAGAATAATTCTTGAGTGCACAGGGACCAGGGTAATAATAGCGCTTTGAGCATGCCTCTGAGTGGTGTGGACAATCTGCACCTATTAGCCTATTAGTAGTAGTAGTATTGCGTATGAGCTGGATGCGTGTAGTGTTGGCTTGTTTTCGCTACAGGAAACTGTCGTATGACAAGGCATTCAGGAACCATTGTGATGAGGAGGGAGAGACTCCACCCCCTACAGCCAGTCCCATACACAAGCATGATGACTCCCGAACTAAAGTATGTACTCTTCTCTTTGTGGAGCACCTGTCGTTTCCCAGTTCCCCTTGCTTAAGTAAGGCCTGAGGATTGTGGGTAACAATGTGTTACTGTGTTGATTGTGTGCTAGTGTATCCCAGTGATGTGGATCATTGCTCACACCATCAACCACTGGTTTTTCTGTTCCAAGGCAATGGTGAGATAACTGAATGTGTGAGATGACTGAATGAAGTGAGATAACTGAATGTGGTGAGGTAACTGAATGTAGTGAGATAACTGAATGTGGTGAGATGACTGAATGCAGTGAGATAACTGAATGCGGTGAGGTGACTGAATGTGGTGAGATGACTGAATGTGGTGAAATAACTGAATGTGGTGAGATGACTGAATGCCGTGAGATAACTGAATGTGGTGAGATAACTGAATGTAGTGAGATAACTGAATGTGGTGAGATAACTGAATGCAGTGAGGTAACTGAATGTGGTGAGATAACTGAATGCAGTGAGATAACTGAATGTGGTGAGGTAACTGAATGCAGTGAGATAACTGAATGCAGTGAGATAACTGAATGTGGTGAGATAACTGAATGTGGTGAGATAACTGAATGCAGAGAGATAACTGAATGCAGTGAGATAACTGAATGTGGTGAGATAACCGAATGTGGTGAGGTAACTGAATGCGGTGAGACGACTGAATGCAGTGAGATAACTGAATGTAGTGAGATAACTGAATGTGGTGAGATAACTGAATGTGGTGAGATAACTGAATGCAGTGAGATAACAGAATGTGGTAAGATAACTGAATGTGGAGAGATAACTGAATGTGGTGAGATAACTGAATGTGGTGAGATAACTGTGTTGATTGTGTGCTAGTGTATCCCAGTGATGTGGATCATTGCTCACACCATCAACCACTAGTTATTCTGTTCCAAGGCAATGGTGAGATAACTGAATGTGGTGAGATAACTTTATGTAGTAATGTAGTGAGATAACTGAATGTGGTGAGATAACTGAATGTAGTGAGATAACTATAACTTGTTTAACAATATGGTCAGTTGGGCCAACAGCAGTGAGATAACTGAATGTGGTGTATATTCACAGCATTCACTCACTTGGTAAATCGCACCCCGGTCACTAATTCAGTGGAGTATATGGTAACGTCTTGAACAATCACAATGAATCAAAGTTTGGTTTGAAGGAAGAATCAAGATAACTGCAGTTCAGAATGTTAGCTTGAATATCCATTCCGGATTCAAATTATATCATTCAGATAAATAAATATGGTTGAATATCTTTTGGAACAGTGTTGGGGTCAGAAACTTCTTTTGCGTATGTGAAACGTGGGGTACTGGATTGGTACTCAATATAACAGGACTGTCATTCATTCGTAGTAAAAATAAAAAGGCTGTAATGGAGGGTTTTAGTCTTACTGTTGGTGACTTCACTCAAGATTTCATTGATTCATGTCAAGAATGCATAACATTAATATTCACCCATCATTGTTTTGACTGCAAGTGTTTCTTTACTCATGTTACCATGGCAACATGTCTATATCTGTGCTACTTCTTTCAGAAAAACATCCGACCAGATGACAGCATGACAGTCATTAAAAAGATGAAAAAGAAGAAAAAGAAAGTTGTTAAGCCGGGTATAAGCACTGTTGGTATGTTACCATGATTACTTGTTTAACAATAGTTGGGTATAAGCACTGTTTGTATGTTACCAAGGTTACTTGTTAAACAATAGCTGGGTATAAGCACTGTTGGTATGTTACCGTTGTTACATGTTTAACAATATGGTCAGTTGGGCCAACAGCAGGTATTTCTCTAGACCTGCTCAGAGGCCGATATTTTGCCCCAAGTCTGCAGCAAATTAGAGTAAAAATTCCCAATTTGAAGTTAAAATTTCACACTTTTTCACAATTTATGAAAATAAGAACATTAACAATAGTCCAGTTGTGGATAATAGCACGATATTTTTCCCACTTTGTCAGCGAAAGGGACTTAGTTTGAAATCCCAGATAAATGCTTGAACAGATAATCAAGATTGTTTTTTCACAGCACTAACTTGCCATTACTCCATATTTTTTAATAGTGTATGCATGTAATCAGAAGTTGGGAAGTAAAAAACAGCTGGCTTTAACTTTGAAAGGAAATTTAACATGTATGAGGATCACATCTAAGAGCTTTGTTATCCGTATCGAACACTTGTTAAATGACACTATACACTCTGTATCTGACACAGTGTTAGAAATATTTTTAAAACCCAAGAAGACAGTCAGGCAGGTGACGCACAAGTGTTGCCTCTCCATCTTCAAAGTTACCTGCCCTCATCCAGACCTTATACATATTGAAAAATTGCAAATCACATCTTGATTAAATTGAAATAATGCAAATTTGAGAATCTACGCGTTACAGTAAAACTGAAATTGTAAGTACTTGTGGTGGGATGCATCAGGGGATTGCGATTTTTTACTTCTTGATAAAAGAATCGATCACAGTCGCACACTAAGTAAAAAATATTGATTCCGAGCTTAAATGTTTGCTTTAATAACTGTTTCACTAAACACTAATCAGTAGTGCAAGTTTATAGTGAAAACATAAATATTTTCATTTGTTGTGCCATAATTCACACTGCCAACTGTAAATCATCAGTGCTCCAGGTATTTGGCAATCCTCTCTATGAAAAAGATGGCTTACGCACCACAGATAAGAGCACATGCAAGTATTGTGATACATATCGGATCGTGAGTAAGGTATCGTGATACATATCGGATTGTGAGTAAGGTATCGTGATACATATCGGATCGTGAGTAAGGTATCGTGATACATATCGGATTGTGAGTAAGGTATCGTGATACATATCGGATCGTGAGTAAGGTATCGTGATACATATCGGATCATGAGTAAGGTATCGTGATACATAATCGGATCATGAGTAAGGTATCGTGATACATATCGGATCGTGAGTAAGGTATCGTGATACATATTGCATCGTGAGTAAGGTATCGTGATACATATCGGATCGTGAGTAAGGTATCGTGATACATATCGGATCGTGAGTAAGGTATCAGGATACATTTCGGATCGTGAGTAAGGTATCGTGAGTAAGGTATCGTGATACATATCAGATCGTGAGTAAGGTATCGTGATACATATCGGATCGTGAGTAAGGTATCGTGATACACATTGGATCGTGAGTAAGGTATCGTGATACATATTGCATCGTGAGTAAGGTATTGTGATACATATCGGATCGTGAGTAAGGTATCGTGATACATATCGGATCGTGAGTAAGGTAACGTGATACATATCGGATCGTGAGTAAGGTAACGTGATACATATCGGATCGTGAGTAAGGTATCGTGATACATATCCGATCGTGAGTAAGGTAACGTGATACATATCCGATCGTGAGTAAGGTATCGTGATACACATTGGATCTCACAGTTGGTGTATCATCCCAGTCCTAGTAAGTAGTCTTAACATTATCTGCCAAGTCGGATAGGTGGAGGGAAATTTCAGTCATCCTGACAAAAAAGTTACCAGACACAGGCAGGTGGGCAGGCAGTTATTTCGGACACTGATCTGACATCATCCCATGTGGGGATTCCAGTAAGAATATTTCCTGAGGCTCCTGAGCTGCTTGAATGAGGTAACGAAACAACTCAGGTGGTCATGTTCTGTGACATGGTTGTTAGCATTCATTGTTAGTCATATCATTCACTGGTTTGTCAATTACTGACCTCTGACATATAACTGCAATATTGATGAGAGCAGAGTTCAAGTAACAAACATCTCCTGTTTCAGACAACCCCGACTTATATAGTTCGAGTCGTACACGGCACTCCGATTACCACTCGGATTCTGGAGAGTCCTTAAAAGAAGTCCAACACAGGCACCCAGACACCGAGTCTTATGACAGCGCCGTGCTTATGAACTATGACCAACACTCCTCGCAGGCGAGCCTGTTGTCAGGGAACTCCCACCGGCGCCAGGAAAACAGGAAACGCAGAACAAAAGTCATCGGCGTTGACGTCAACACAGAAGAGGATGATGACCTCAATGCAACACACATGTTTTCTATCAACGAAACTGCCAAGTTTAGAAAGGATGGTAGCTTAGATTATTCCAATGGTGGTGCCTCTCTGCCCCTCACTCCTGTGATGTTGCGGAAGAAGCAGGATGTGCCCCCGCTTGACTTGACCGCGCTGAGGTCAAGCACTGAAAGCACAGCGTCCGCTACATTCAGGCCATATAGCGGAACTGTCCGTTCCACCGACACATATGGTTTGACGGACAGACCTCTGCCCAGATTGAAGGCTGTTCCGGAAGGAGGGTTAGATACTGAAGTTTGATCATCTGTTTGGGTCAGGTAGACAGAAGGGAATAGATACATGAGATAACATCAATTGTTAAATATAGTCTACAAAACATACTTCCTTTAATTATGAAGCAGATAAGTTACATTTGTGGTGTGTTGGAAAGGATATAATTGGTTCTACATCTATCCAGGAAGTTGAAAATTGCTCAGTAAACAATGTTCAAGATTGTTCCCAATTTTGTAATATACTTCTCTGTGCCAGTAGCTGATGTTAAAATTGTTAAATTTGCTTTCAGTATTTACTCAGGAACATATTTGTAGCATCCGTTATCAACATATCGGTGTCATCATACTAGAAAAGAGAGTATAAAGTAAACATTAATTGTTCCTGTGGATTCTAATTACAGTACAGGAGTGATAAGTAGACATGTCTTTGTTTTCTGAAAAATGGTGCATATACACCTAAATTGTAGTCATTTTCTGTGTGTATAATATTTATTGACATATTTATCAGAGCGACAGTCATTGACATATTGTGTCATGTTAATTTAGTATTGTTTGTTTTCTGTTTGTTTTTATTTATGATATTTTATTTCACTTGTCCAATCCGATCCAGCGCTGTTTTAATTGTTACTTGCTGCGAGACTGTGATCGTACAAACACAGGACCCTGCTACTCATTGTATCTTCCTTCAATCCACATACACTGAAACCTTGTTAATCCAAACAGTAACGTCCCAGCATCATCATCTTAACTATCACATTTCAGAATCATCCTCATCTATCCAGGGTATTATATCTCCATTCTATTGTAATAACAACCATGGATGGACCCATTTGCCACCATAGCCAGCGTCCCGTTGAACGTACACGATGTTAAGAGATGTGTGAGAGAGGGAGGATGGGGCGAGGGAGGGAGAGGGAAACATGGATGATGCCATTCAATGAATCTATGGCTGCGAACGGGTCCAGGTAATAGATCATAATAGAATGGAGATATTATATACTGGATAATCGAGAATGCTGTTTATGTGTAGATGTAGAAGTGTCGAGAAGGAAACTATCCGAACTAGAAGGGTTTCACTACACACAGATAACAAGGGTTTCACTACACACACATAATAAGGGTTTCACTATTCACAGATAACAAGGGTTTCACTACGTACATCATGAGAGTCACTACACAGATGACGAGGGTTTCATTACACACAGATAACAAGGGTTTCACAACACAGATAACAAGGGTTTCACTATACACACATAATAAGGGTTTCACTATGCACAGATGAAAAGGGTTTCACTACACACTCATAATAACAAGGGTTTCACTACACACACATAGTAAGGGTTTCACTATGCACAGATAACAATGGTTTCACAACACACGGATGACGAGGGTTTCACAACACACAGATAACAAGGGTTTAACTATTATTCAGTATTAAAGAAGTTGTTATCCATAAATTGTGTCTACATTGTTAAACACGCTCTTCTTGGAATACATGTATACATTTGAATTTTTTATGACAACCTGTTTGGAATATATTGAAGTTGTTAATCATGTTAATATAAATATTATTATTTAATACATGTTTGAAACAATAATGAATAGATTTACAGATTTGATAAATTGCTACATTCTGTAATGTTTATGAGTGTAGAATAATATTTAGGATTTATTAGGCATGAAACTACTGGCTCTCAGGCTATTTGTTGGTGTGAAGGGGCAGCCTTGTCTGGTGGGCAGTGGGTGATTAGATAGAGTCTTTATTTCTTTGTCCAAAAGATGAGATGTATTACTGCTGCTGATGCTGATGGCAAGGCCCAAGAACCAAGTATAATTCGTGAAGCCTGACTGTGTACATAGGCCTGTGGTGGAGTATGATCATCCCTGACTCTTCGTCATGTGCTGCTGTTGTGTACATACTTGCATCCCTGTCTCCGTACCTTGTGTGTTTCTATTGGTGGTACATCATAGTTGCTGTACAGAAAACTTGTGATACCAAAAACACTGTGACCTACTGGACAGATTCACAGTCTCAATATGCACATGTTACCATGGTTACCTGTATATATCTGGCTCAGGCATGTATCTGTGATAGGCATGTTATTTACAGGAACTGCCTCAAAGATGTCTCCGTGTTTCTCATATGTTCCGATGGCTAGGTGGCCCAAGGCACTGGGTTTAGCTGTTCAGAGTAGCCTCGAAGATGTCTCTGTGTTTCTCACATGTTCCGATGGCATAGGTGGCCCAAGGCACTGGGTTTAGCTGTACAGAGTTGCCTCCCCTTGGTGTGCCACAAACTTATGATAGTCGGTTTGAATCCCGGTTTGCCCTGATTGTTTCTAGGTTTGTCAGCACCATACCCATGCTCGTTTGGTTTCACCAAAGTGGTAAACGTATAAGACCTGCATCACTTCAGGCTTTCCTCCCACATCAAGCTGATATGGTAACTGAAATTCTGTTCAAAGCGATGTCATACATTGTACCAAAATCACATCTTTTGAGACATATGTAAAAAGTAGACGTTGGTAGGGAGTTTGTGACAATTTCCAGATTGGTTTGAAAATACAATGGATTAATAATGATCGATCATGAAGGTAAATGACAGAATCACCAGTTCAGAGCAGTTCCTTTCTTTGTCCTTCATGTACAACTGAAACACTGCCCCGAGTGTCTAGAAAGTGAGAAGAGACTGAGGTCCTGTTCCTGGGTACTGTGTTCAGTGCCTGATGTTCCCAGCACTGGGACTACTTACAGTGGTACTCCTACTACCAATCCCCTGTTGATAATCAAAAAACAAGAAGCTGCTTTATTATTCTGATTTCATGAAAATTAAAAACAATTGATTCAATTTGGGGTTTCTTTTCAATTTTGACCTCCTTTCTCAAGGTGCTTCCTAAAACACAGTCTGAAGAAATGTGTCCTTTAAATGAGTTTGAAAATCACACCTGTTAAATGATTAGTGATTAAATTTGGGAAACACCCATAATATTTCCTTGTTTAACATGAGATCATGTTGCTGAGAAAAACAAAAAACGAAATTAAGTTTTTATTAAATGACAGGTCAAAGAGTTTTTAAATTGACTGTCTCTGAATATTTTGTCTGCATGGGTGGGGAGGAACCAGTTATCTCATTCAGTCATGTCTTGATGCTGACAATGCCAAGCTGACCCTCACTGGCCATTGTCCAGTGTCATGACCTGCATCTTGTCATACAGCCATATATTCACAGAAATCCATCTGGACCCTTGAACATCTGGGGTAGAATAGGTCTTCAGCCACCCATGCTTGCCCTAAAATGCGACTATGCTTGTCGTAAGAGCCGATTAACGGGATGAGGTGGTCAGACTTGCTGACTTGGTTGATGCATGTCATCGTATCCCAATTGAGTAGATCAATGCCAATGATGTCACTCACTGGATTGTTTGGTCCAGACTCGATGACTTACAGACCGCCGTCATTTAGCTGGAATATTGCTGAGTGCGGCATTTAACAACAAACAAACAAAAGATACGTAAAGATTTTTCTCAGATGAAGATGTTATGGTTGCTGTAACATAGTGGATGATTAAGAGTGAGACTTGCAAAGGAGCTTTCAGTTCGTCAATCGTAGCACTGGTTGCTGTGTGGAATGGGACTGTTATGCAGGATTCAATGACCTTGTAGTTGTCAATAGGACATCGCCTCAAGGCTGCTGTGACTCAGTATGTATAGACATACAAGTGTTTGATAATGCCCTAACTATGTATTGATTTTAAAGGGTTTAGTGATATGCCTTTGATTGCCTTGAAAGGTTCTATTGACATTGTTGTGTTGATGATGTATTGGATGCAGGGGTAGGTGCTTCATATGATCAATATACTGGTCCACCATGAACTGGTGAATACATGCATCCTTTTAGGACTTGGGTATTGATTGTATCATCGCACAGCCTCTGTGCTTTAGAAACTATGTTCCACAACCTAGCATCCCCTCCTGAACCATGGTACTGTCAGATGGGTGAGTGTGCCAACCCAAACCCGCCCCCCTCCCCCCCCCCCCCCCCCCCCCCCCCCCCCCCCCCATCCCCTGAGTCCCGAATACCATCTAATTTTTCTGAATCTCACTGCTCACCCAAGAATCCCCAAAACTATTTAACACAATACTCAAAAGCTTTGAGAAAAGGGTGCGATTTGAAGTTAAATTTCTGAAAAGATATTGGAAAAATGAAATATGTAAAGGACATTTCTTTATGCACCAAGAGAATATTCTTTTTTTAAATGTTGAATCTGCATACCCAGTATTTTATTTTCATCCTGTGTACAACACTGGCGAGTCCTGAATACTGTGTAAATATACCCCGAATCCCATGTACCCAAGGGGGGATGGATGCCTCATTGGTATTACCTGCTTCGCTTTCCTCCCACATAAAGCTGATGCTGTGATATGACTGAAATACTGCACACGGCTGTGTTAAACCCAACTCCTGTCCTGTCCTGTCTCAGCCGTCTAAGGTGCCGCAGTTAGGTTACAGAGTTACATCCCTTGAGCACGACAGAAACATGATAGTGGGTTCAAATCCCAGTTGCCTGATTATGTTTCTAGGTTTGTCAGCACCATACCCATGCTTATGGATTTCTCCAAAGTGGTAAACGTCTGAGACCTGCATCACTTCAGGCTTTCCTCCCACATTAAGCTGACACGCCGTGATACAACTGGAATACTGTTCAAAACGGCCTTAAACACTCACCCTCCTATCTTTAGTTATCATTGGTGATGTAAAATTCAGCCTTGTAGGGCTGGGACGGGTAACTCAGGTACCCGGGTCGGGTGGGTACTGAGTAGGACCCTGGTACCCACAAGATTCCCCAGACCTGTGGTTAGTCATGTGATATATTGTCTAATGACTAAAACTATCTGGAACTCTATGGTTACACTACAAGTCATTAATGTTTGCTTTTCTTTCTGACTAGGCACCCATTCCTTCTGATTTTTCATATGGTTGAATAAAGATATAACTTAAGTCAACTTCAGTGTATGCATGACCAGATTGTTAAATACAGGTATCTAAATACGTTTTGCCAGGGCTATGCTAAAAAAGTTCCCAATCGGACATTTTGAGACATCTCCTGAGGTCTACAGTGGGTACCCGGGTAGGGTAATAGGGGGGTGGGTAATATATTTTGACTTGTCCCAGCCCTACAGCCTTGGTTCACAGAATCACACAGTGGTTGTATCACTAGGAATGTAATAAAACCACATACTTAAACATAACAGTGGTAGAGTTACGATCTCTCCATCTGTGCTTGGCTATCGTGTATCTCGGCCTCTGCTGAAGCCTTGATGGTGCAACAGCTGTACAGGTATCACTAACCAGGGCATTAGGCATATTAGGAAACAATCTTTGTTTGTGCAATCTGCTGATCCTGCAAAAATCTTTAACTCAAAATGAATTTGGGAAGCTCGAATATTATGTACACCCTCCAGGTCATAATGCATGTATTCATTCGATAGTCTGGATGACAAGCAAACTCCCTACCCTCCTGACTTCACTTGGGTCATGCTGCTCAAAACACGGATATTTTTTATGATGGCCTTATTTAGTCATGGGAAACGTGTGGTTTGATGGAGTCTGCTGGATATGTGATACACTGACTAACATATTTCACATGTTAACATGGGCATGTCTTGAGAGATGTGATCAATGCAGAATTTACATCTGATCTACTTTTTGTTGTCATGCAAACGGTTTCATGATTTCACTGATTTGATTTTCCGATCAGTCTAACCCATTGTATATTAATTGTACACTATTTTTGCTTTAACATTCAACATTCAACATTCCACATAAGTATGTAATTTTACATGTTTTATAAAGGAGTGTCAGGTTTGTTTGCAGTGAATGCAAGGAGGTAGTGTTTTGAATCTTCACGGTTTGGTAATGTCACTGAAGTGATGACAGGCTGATCCTGTCTCGATGGCCACAGGCTCATCACCTGTGTTAGGTCCAAGAGGTGAAGGTCACAGCATCAGGCTAAAGGGGAGCTCACTGTTGCTTGTTATACCGTTGTGATAAGGTTGTTATTTTATGGCTGAAAAGACTTTTTGCTCCCAACTATCAAATGTTTGTGATCAGATTTCTCTAAAGGTATAAATGGGGTATGCCATTTGGGACATTTTGGAGATTTGGTTTTGACTTCAGTCCAGCTTGTTGAGCAATACGATGCAACACATTCCAACAGGGTTTTGACCACTGTGCCCCGATGTTGTATACATTCCGCCATTGATGTATGTACATGTATTATACAACATGTCCACCATATGCAGCGACCAGATTCAGGAAACTCTACCAAAGCGCCAACTGTATGCAGAGCTGTCTGTACAATCCATGTGTATTTATAGGCAGTAGTGTCTGGATGGAATGTAGTTGTGGTATATATACCAGGCTCCATCTGTGTATTGATATGCAGTAGTGTCTGGATGGAACTAGTTGAGGTATATATACCAGGCTCCATCTGTGTATTGATAGGCAGTAGTGTCTGGATGGAACTAGTTGTGGTATATATACCAGGCTCCATCTGTGTATTGATATGCGGTAGTGTCTGGATGGAATGTAGTTGAGGTATATATACCAGGCTCCATCTGTGTATTGATATGCGGTAGTGTCTGGATGGAATGTAGTTGAGGTATATATACCAGGCTCCATCTGTGTATTGATATGCGGTAGTGTCTGGATGGAATGTAGCTGAGGTATATATACCAGGCTCCATCTATGTATTGATATGCGGTAGTGTCTGGATGGAACTAGTTGTGGTATATATACCAGGCTCCATCTGTGTATTTATAGGCAGTAGTGTCTGGATGGAACTAGTTGAGGTATATATGCCAGGCTCCATCTGTGTATTGATATGCGGTATTGTCTGGATGGAACTAGTTGAGGGATATATACCAGGCTCCATCTGTGTATTGATATGCAGTAGTGTCTGGATGGAATGTAGTTGTGGTATATATACCAGGCTCCCTCTGTGTATTGATATGCGGTAGTGTCTGGATTGAACTAGTTGAGGGATATATACCAGGCTCCATCTGTGTATTGATATGCAGTAGTGTCTGGATGGAACTAGTTGAGGTATATATACCAGGCTCCATCTATGTTTTGATATGCGGTAGTGTCTGGATGGAACTAGCTGAGGTATATATGGCAGGCTCCATCTGTGTATTGATATGCAGTAGTGTCTGGATGGAATGTAGTTGAGGTATATATACCAGGCTCCCTCTGTGTATTGATATGCGGTAGTGTCTGGATTGAACTAGTTGAGGGATATATACCAGGCTCCATCTATGTTTTGATATGTGGTAGTGTCTGGATGGAACTAGTTGAGGTATATATACCAGGCTCCATCTATGTTTTGATATGCGGTAGTGTCTGGATGGAACTAGCTGAGGTATATATGGCAGGCTCCATCTGTGTATTGATATGCAGTAGTGTCTGGATGGAATGTAGTTGAGGTATATATACCAGGCTCCCTCTGTGTATTGATATGCGGTAGTGTCTGGATTGAACTAGTTGAGGGATATATACCAGGCTCCATCTGTGTATTGATATGCAGTAGTGTCTGGATGGAACTAGTTGAGGTATATATACCAGGCTCCATCTATGTTTTGATATGCGGTAGTGTCTGGATGGAACTAGCTGAGGTATATATGCCAGGCTCCATCTGTGTATTGATATGCAGTAGTGTCTGGATGGAATGTAGTTGAGGTATATATACCAGGCTCCATCTGTGTATTGATATGTGGTAGTGTCTGGATGGAACTAGTTGAGGTATATATACCAGGCTCCCTCTGTGTATTGATATGCGGTACTGTCTGGATGGAACGTAGCTGAGGTATATATGCCAGGCTCCATCTATGTATTGATATGCGGTAGTGTCTGGATGGAACTAGTTGAGGGATATATACCAGGCTCCATCTGTGTATTGATATGCGGTAGTGTCTGGATGGATCTAGTTGAGGTATATATACCAGGCTCCATCTATGTATTGATATGCGGAAGTGTCTGGATGGAATTAGTTGAAGTATATATGCCAGGCCTCAAGGAATGAATTCTTTTATTCTTTCATTTAAGCTGAATATGTTGGTTTTCAAAGCATGGACACATGCAGAATACTGTAAGCCATGTATGTAATGTTCAGTATGCTGTGCATGAAAATTAGACAATTAGAAGGCCAATCATATTGTTCTTGTTCTGTGGATTTTCCTGGTAAATATATTTCAAGATGCATAAGGAAAAACTTAAAAAAACATGCCAGTTGTCTCAAGGTTAATGTGACAAAAAAACCTCTTGAATGAAATTCAGAGAAAACAATATACATGTATTAAACAGGAAAACTATTGGCCTTGCATGAATAATATATGTCAAGTTAAGCATGAATGTTGCTAGTTGAGAAAGATGTTCCAGGAGGCGGTCAACTTGGAGGAAGGACATCCTTTGCGGATTGGTGATACTTTTGTTTCAGAGTCGGAACGACCTGTATTACAAAGTGCTGACTACATCTATTTAGTGAGGACCAATTCTATTATAGTCAGGACTTCTGTTACATATTGTGGACTAGTTCTCGTTGATTTTGTTTATAGATAGGGATGTGTATGTTGCCAGTTCGGTTGATGTCTGTGATAGTTGAATAATTGTATCACCCATCTGTGATGAATTTATAAACAACCTATTTTCTACATCTGTTGTCTGTTATCATTTTAAAGGCTGCTGAAGTCCTATGTACACCATATAAAACTAACGCAGCCTGATCTGGGTGTCGGGGCACGGGTGGAACAGTCATCTAAGGCGCATGAATTCACATTGCAGAGGTGCGTCCCTTGGCACAACAATGATTGAGGGTTCAAATCCGGGTTTGCCCTGATTATATTTCTAGGTTTGTCAGGACCATACCCATGCTCATGGGTTTCATGAGACCTGCATTTCTTCTGGCTTTCGTCCAATATTAGCATTAAACACATACCGGTATACCTGAAAAACTGTTTTAGGTAGTGTTAACCTCAACTCAAGAGAAAATGTAATCTGGCTGCAGGCAATTGTAAGAGGCAAGTAAAATGAGTGTTTGGTGGACTAGAGATCACTGGTGTGTGTTGTCTATGAGGACCTAAGATCACTGGAATGTGTTGTCTATGAGGACCTAGGATCACTGGTGTGTGTTGTCTATGAGGACCTAGGGATCACTGGTGTGTGTTGTCTATGAGGACCTAGAGATCACTGGTGTGTGTTGTCTACATTGAGGACCTAGGGATCACTGGAGTGTGTTGTCTATGAGGACCTAGGATCACTGGTGTGTGTTGTCTATGAGGACCTAGGATCACTGGTGTGTGTTGTCTATGAGGACCTAGTATCACTGGTGTGTGTTGTCTATGAGGACCTAGGGATCACTGGTGTGTGTTGTCTACACTGAGGACCTAGGATCACTGGTGTGTGTTGTCTATGAGGACCTAGGATCACTGGTGTGTGTTGTCTATGAGGACCTAGGATCACTGGCGTGTGTTGTCTACACTGAGGACCTAGGATCACTGTTGTTTGTTGTCTTTTAGGACCTAGGATCACTGGTGTGTGTTGTCTATGAGGACCTAGGATCACTGGCGTGTGTTGTCTATGAGGACCTAGGATCACTGGTGTGTGTTGTCTACACTGAGGACCTAGGAATCACTGGTGTGTGTTGTCTACACTGAGGACCTAGGGATCACTGGTGTGTGTTGTCTACACATAGGACCTAGGGATCTCTGGTGTGTGTTGTCTACACTGAGGACCTAGGAATCACTGGTGTGTGTTGTCTACACATAGGACCTAGGATCACTGGTGTGTGTTGTCTACACTGAGGACCTAGGAATCACTGGTGTGTGTTGTCTACACATAGGACCTAGGGATCACTGGTGTGTGTTGTCTACACATAGGACCTAGGATCACTGGTGTGTGTTGTCTACACTGAGGACCTAGGAATCACTGGTGTGTGTTGTCTACACATAGGACCTAGGATCACTGGTGTGTGTTGTCTACACTGAGGACCTAGGAATCACTGGTGTGTGTTGTCTACACATAGGACCTAGGGATCACTGGTGTGTGTTGTCTACACATAGGACCTAGGATCACTGGTGTGTGTTGTCTACACTGAGGACCTAGGAATCACTGGTGTGTGTTGTCTACACATAGGACCTAGGATCACTGGTGTGTGTTGTCTACACTGAGGACCTAGGGATCACTGGTGTGTGTTGTCTACACTGAGGACCTAGGGATCACTGGTGTGTGTTGTCTACACTGAGGATCTAGGGATCACTGGTGTTTTACGGCTTGACGAGTTGTTGCTGTAATTATGGAGAGCCTTTGGAAACCTTCTAGAACATTGCTCAGAGAGATTGGTTGACACAGATTCGAAAGAGTTAGAGTAACCGGTATACCAAGCACCGAAAGCATCCAGGCACATGTCTGTTAAGTATTGAGAATCATGAAAGGGCCTCCAACGTGGTATACTAAAAGTTCAGCCAAAATGCTGCTGATCTGGTCAATATGCGCCGATGACGCGCTATACCTGTATTGATGCTCACTCTGTCAAACATTAGTTTTCCTGTTCAAGTCTGTTGTTTCTCTGGGATATGATACTTCTGAAAACTCACCCATATATTCCCATGCTTTCACAAAAGGACACACATATTTTCCACCAGGAACATATTTATTCTGGCATTTAGGAATAGTCGTCTTGACAAGTACATAAATTAACAGCTACGTGTCAATGGTAATAAATAAATGGCAGTGTGAAAAAGTGAAACAATTAAAAAAATGCAAAGCGAGATTATACATTTTAACAGTACTAAGAACGAGTCGCTATATATACAGACACATACATGTCGAAATTCAACAAAACAATTTACACATCTACCACTAATGATATCATTAACTGATTTGCCATATGATAAGCTATTCTTGACCCTTTATGAAGTTAATTCCAAAACAATCCACGTACATTTTGCCAAAGGCTCTCAAATATTTGTGCGTTTCAGTATCTCATCAAATAATGTAGTTAACAACACACTTTAGTTTTATTCATGATCATATCATTTTTTAACACCCACCTGCCATGTGCGCAAAGCGTGTACATTCTAACATCCCCGGTTTAATGATAAAAAGCAAACGCAAAATATTATCTGTAGCCCATAGGAGAAATATTCTAAAATGCCATTTTTCTACCAGGTACCCATCTTACAACTAACTAATGCAACGCATCAATGTATTATTACAATAACAATCTTCACACTCTGGTAAGCCAGGAAAGATGGTCACTGATAACAGGAATATAGATTTGATGACGGACCAAATATTTTGAAAAAGATAATGTTTTTATATAAAATAAATACCTAAACGAAAACGTGCCTATATTTTAACCATAATTTGTGAAAATAAACACTACCAGCAGTGATACTGTATATCAACAATCAGACCCCATACAAAATATATTTGTTATTAATTATTTGAAATAAGTCACAGATTTCTTTTGACGGATCAATTCTCAATGGATGCTGCGGTGGACTCCCTTCGAAAGCTCCTTCCGCACGCGCCACAACGTCGTCGTACAGAGCTCCGCTAACGGGCTGTCGCTGTGAAGAGATTGCAGGCGATGTACACGTCACACGACAACAAGCGCCTGAAACCCCATTCGCTGAGCTCGCACTCTACATCGGGGTGTCGTTGAGAGAATTCTGGCTGCCAGTATCGTCATTGTCGTCGTCATCATCGCTCTTACTTTCTTCATCCTTTTCTTCCTTCATACAAGCGATGAATTCTGTGGGGGGAAAAACAATACCGTTTGAATATCAGAACAATATCCAACATTTATCAGCGATATTTTACAGACAGTATTGCCAAAAATAACGGTTTCTTTAAGATATCGCCATATGATCATGTCGATGTTGTTTATCTTGTACTAATAAATTCTGACCTTCAAAATCGATCCTGCCATCACCATCGATGTCGACCTCGGCAATCATCTCGTCAACTGAAATAAGGGTAAATACGGTAATAGCCAGTGTAAGAAATGCACAGGGGGTTAGTGTATGAGAGTGATAATTATGCCGTGTACATGTAGAGTGAGTGAGTGAGTCAGGTTTTACGCCGCTTTCAGCCATATTCCAGCAATATCACGGCGGGGACACCAGAAACGGGCTTCACACATTGTACCCATGTCGGGAATCGAACCCGGGTCTTCGGCGCGACGAGCGAATGCTTTAACTACTAGGCTACCCGAACGCCCCTAAGTCCAAATGATCTCCAGCGAGGTGGCCTTGCTTTGGTTACTGATGGCCTATAGCCCGTGTTTTAAACTGTATTAATATAGAATACTAAACGAGCCTCCGTGTAATACCAATTTTATGAAACGAGTGAATAGTTCTGGTATCTGACGAGCGAAAGCGAATTAGATACCACAACCATTCACGAGTTTCATAAAATAAGTTTTACACGGGAGCGAGTTTAGTATTTTATTTATTACTTTCCATTAATACCGTTTTTCGAATAATACTGTTGAGTGTGAATAGGCTGACACCTACACGAACCACGGCATAATCCTATTGAGTAATACTTCAAACACGTCAAAAGTTGAAACGTATGAATTGAATACCATACAACGGTCCACCTTTAGAATTCAGGCGTCCGTTCAACAAAATTATCGTAGCGCTGAGGTTATCGCACTTCACATACTTTAACTTAGACTAACGAATGTAGTTGCGCCTCAATACGAATGCCTTGTGGAACAGGGCCTTGCACCTCAAAGTTTACAATTACGTCATAATACCCGATGACGTAATTTGTGGAATTTTGTTGCAAGATCCATCGGCGAAACAATGCCATGTGACGTCAGCCTAGCAACGAGTGTGCATAAGTTCCTTTCAGTGATCTATCATCTCCACACGCAATGTCGTTGAATAAGCCAAGGGATGTTGAGAGCTTTCAATATTTGTTCGTGAAACGTGTTCCGAGAGTACATAAGCACGCGTTTTGGTATTACACAATGTGTAATACAGCTGTATGTTTATTAAACGGGTGATCTCTTCACGGGCAAGTAATAAATAATATTGTCATGCCTAAATATGTTTGAAAACCATAATTTGTGAAATTAAACACTACCAGCAGTGATACTGTAAATCAACACTGTGGTATCACAATGACTGGCCGGACTGCGCTCAATGTTTTCCATGACCTAGTCACAGGTCAGTACTATCGGGACAACATCATTGCACCACTCGTGCTGCCATTTGCACAACGTGTTGGGCAACGTTTCGTATTTCAAGATATAATGCACGTGCTCATCGTGTCAGGATTGTGACCCAATTCCCCCAGCTGCAAAACATCCATGCAATCCATCCTCACCGTCCCCCTGTTAAACACGCCTTGGACACGATGAGTGGAACAACACTGGAGTCAAGCTGACATTGGTCGACTCATCAGAAGCATGCCTCGAAGAACATTGGTGGTTTTACCCGATATTAGTTGGTTTTGTTGTTCTTGTTTTACGCCGCTCTCAGCAATATTCCAGCTTTATGACGGTGGTCTGTAAATAATCGAGTCTGGACCAGACAATCCAGTGATTAATATCATGAGCATCGATCAACGCCATTGGGATCGATGACATGCATCAACCAAGTCAGCGAGCCTGACCACCCGATCCCGTTAGTCGCCTTTTACGCCAAGCATAGTCGCCTCCGATATTAGTGACATTGGCTGCAAAATGCAACGCAAATTTCGAATTTGACCCCGGCCTCTTTAACGACCTTGTTCGGCACCATCTCATCACACCAACCATGAGAACCCATTAGATCCGATCGCCTACTCCCTAGCAGATATGAGCGCCAGGCAGGGTAAGGACAAGTACCATCAACAAGTACCATCTTTTAACGTCTTTGGGTATGACGCGGCCGGGGATCGACCTTCCGCTCTCCGAGCTGACGCTCTACCAGTAGACCACGGAGGCGGCCCCAGCATGATCTGACAAATGTGTTTGGTTTAACGTCTGTTCATCAACAAATGTACGTACTTTCCTCCTCAGTGAGGTCTTCTCCCATACACTGTAGCACTGCCCTCAAGTCAGACGCCGTGATGTACCCACACCCAGACTTGTCAAACACCTGCAACAAACACCATGACATATACAGACGAGTGTGTGAGTGAGTATGCTTTTTTGCCGCCCTCGGTAATATTCAAACCATATCACGGCGTGATACCAGAAATAGGTTTCACTGATTATACTCATGTTGGGAATTGAACCCCGGACCTCATTGCTCACATAGAGGCGAACAAGTAATGTATGATGCTATGATCTTAATCGGTCAAAATGAATGCTTGATCATTAAAAGGCACTTTAAACATGAATAAGAAATGACGTGATTGCAAGGGGACGATGTTGTATGTCCGGCCATATTCGGTAATTAGAGTGAGTGAGTGAGTGAGTTGGGTTTTACGCCGCTTTTAACAGTATTCCAGTTATATCACGGCGTGTCAGCTTAATGTGGGAGGAAAGCCCGAAGTGATGCAGGTCCTAGACGTTTACCACTTCGGTGAAACCCACGAGCACGGGTATGGTGCTGACAAACCTAGAAACATAATCGGGGCGAACCGGGATTCGAACCCACAATCATAGGTTTCTGGCGTGTCCAAGGGACGCAACTCTGCACAGCGAATCGCGGCGCCTTAGACGACTGGGCCACCCGTGCCCCCTCGGTAATTAGAACCATATGTGAAAATGGGACGTCAGATCTGTGTAATTAGGGCAAACATTCCCTGTTATTTTCCGTTCACATTATAAAGTTGCGTTAGTTGGATAAACAAAGTGGTGTTTGAACGACTTGAATCAAACTTGCTGGGCTGCCATATGCCTCAACCGTAGACCGCCTTTAACATGTGTAGTGTTTCCAAAGAAATCTTGTAATCTGTGTTCATAAGACATCAGCCTCAACTCCTATGAAGTTAAAGAATTCCCATTATGGCTATAGTTGATCATTGAGATAAAATATTAACTATAGTAATAGGGGGAAAATCGGTTGTTCCTTTAATGTCTTTTGAATATTTTTTGGACCGAAATCTGGAACAAACCGCCTCACAATCCTATAAATAGACAGGTCGTCTCAAGGCTCCTTACAGTGAAGGCTTGCCGGAGTTCCTCCTCCTCGTCCTCCTCCGACTGCTCGCTGCTGATGCCGCCCATGTTCGCCATCACCTGTACGAACTCCTCGAACGTGAACGTGCCGTCACCTGCCACACGGGAGAGAGAGAGAGAGCGCGCCTTTAAATACCCATACAGTAAAACTTAATCGTGTAAATTGTCTTTACTGTGGGACCCTGGCTCGGTAATACTCACAATGCACACATAGACACACACACAGAGACACAAACACACACACAATGCACACACACAGACAAACACACGCACACACACACACAGAGAGACACACATGTACACACACACACGCACACACATGTACACACACAGACACACACACATGTACACACACACACAATCACGCACATACACAAACACACACACACACACAGAGACAAACACACGCACACACATGCACACAAACACAGAGCATATATACACATACAGCTTGCGTTATACACTACACACACATACACACAACATACATACACTTACAATCAAACACACAGAGCATACATACTCACACAGCTTACATACCAGAAGAGCCACGTCCATCCGATTTCCCACTTTAAAACTTGTCTGGTAACTAACGAACACAACATACCAGGTCTGAATTAAGAAGGTTCGTTATCTCGGATAAACCATTAAAAAGATGTAAAAAGTTGATCCGCAAGTGCTTGATTTCATTATCAATTAATATCCTGTTATTAGCAAGATCCTCAAGAAATTAATTTACAAAATACTTTACAAAATCTGTTTTAACAGGAAGCAGAGTGAAAAGCGGCTATGACCGATATAGATGTGCTCAAGACAGTGGTCAGTAAATGAATCGTTCCAGTGACTAGCGATACTATTCAACGATTAACCTCATAGGTTTCTGCAGCTCGTTATACCCATTATACGTCACTGGTGTGCATGACTATTGCATATGGAACATGACACACACAAATCCATCAAACGGTTATATTAACTCAGCTCCTTGTGACGGCGCGGCTGCTCCTAGAACTTGACACAGACATCCCCTATATTGTATTTCATTACCCCGCCACATTGATGTATAGCGAGGTAATCATGTCGCCTATAGAAGCATAGAAATGTATTATCATTAAACCACGACATAAACAAGCTCATAACATATAACATACTACTGGTTAGTTGTAGAGTGTCAGCTCCATGAAACAGCGTTTGGTTATAAATTCGGGATACTGTCTTCATCAGCTTTCTGTCTCGGGAAACTTATTTGAGGATCAAAGGCGTTATATAAATAAATCATCAAAGAAATGTTCCGATATCGGCATCAGGTGTTGGTTTGCGAGGAGCCTGGTGAGGACTGTAAATATGTCTCCGATTCTAGGTATAGTGTTGCCATAGTGATTCATTCTCATACTACCGCCTCCGTGGTCTTGTGGTAGAGCGTCCGCCTGGAGAGCGGAAGGTCCAGGGTTCGATCCCGGGCCGCGTCATACAAAAAGACGTTAAAAGATTGTACTTGTTGTTACCCTGTCTGGCGCTCGGCATTAAGGGGCTAAAACAAGGACTGGTCGGCTCGGAGTCAGTATACTGTGTCTGAGTGGGGTATTCATGTTAAACTGCGGCATGGTATCTCAGTGAGCTAGCACTATAAATCGGCATCAGTCCGGACTAGTACAAGCAGCCACACACACACATACACGTGCATGCACGTCGCTATATAAGTGCAATAATCTTGGACGCGACGTTAAACCCAATCTCACCTCACCTCATTCTCATACTTTCCTATGTTGCCATAGTGATTCATTATTACACCTTTCTATGTTGCCATAGTGATTCATTATTACTCCTTCCCATGTTGCCATAGTGATTCATTCTCATACTTTCCTATGTTGCCACAGTGATTCATTCTTATACCTTCCTATGTTGCCATAGTGATTCATTCTAATACCTATCTATGTTGCCATAGTGATTCATTCTGACACCTTCCAATGTTGCCATAGTGATTCATTCTTATATCTTCCTATATTCCCATAGTGATTCATTCTTATACCTTCAAATGTTGCCATAGTGATTCATTCTTATATCTTCCTATATTGCCATAGTGATTCATTCTTACTCCTTCCTATGTTGCCATAGTGATTCATTCTTACTCCTTCCTATGTTGCCATAGTGATTCATTATTACACCTTCCTATGTTGCCATAGTGCTTCATTATTACACCTTCCTATGTTGCCATAATGATTCATTCTTATACCTTCCTATGTTGCCATAGTGATTCAATCCGACACCTTCAAAAGTTGCCATAGTGATTCATTCTTACACATTCCTATGTTGCCATAGTGATTCATTATTTCACCTTCCTATGTTGCCATAATGATTCATTTTTATACCTTCCTATGTTGCCATAATGATTCATTCTGATACCTTCCTATGTTGCCATAGTGATTCATTCTGACACCTTCCTATGTTGCCATAATGATTCATTCTTATACCTTCCTATGTTGCCATAATGATTCATTCTTATACCTTCCTTTGTTGCCATAGTGATTCATTCTTATACCTTCCTATGTTGCCATAATGATTCATTCTTACACCTTCCAATGTTGCCATAGTGATTCATTCTTACACCTTCCTATATTGCCATAGTGATTAGTTGTTACACCTCATATGTTGCCAGAGTGATTCATTCTTATATCTTCCTATGTTGCCATAGTGATTCATTCTTCCACTTTCCTTTGTTGCCATTGCGATTCATTCTCACGCTTACCATGGTTTAAAGGATATTTAAAGAGAAACTCCTCCCCAGTTTGGTTAAAACTGTAAAACCGTGAGCGAGGGCTCATGAAACGTCTAAATGCAAGAAATAGCAAAAGAAAATTAAGAAAACATCGGGATACCTTACAGTGAAACAAAACAATGTATCGCGGCATAAAAGGAATTCTATCAAAGCGTGTGAGAGAAAGATCACGTGCAGCATGCACGCGACAAAGTCATGGCATGTAAAACAGGACATCCTTTCATCAACTACCCCCGTGACTTAGTGGGAAAACAGTGGGTTACAAAACTTAACGCGATGCGTCATGGAGTTTTCACTTGAAAAAAAGTTGTTACATTTAACAAATTAAAACCAACATTATATTCACATCAAAAGGCCACTTTGTGTCAATTGTCATTTGTAAAACCCCTCAACAGGTCTCACGTAGTAGTACCTCTCACAAGGTTACCGTGAGATAGGAAGATACCTACAATACAATAGGTAAAAGTTCTATAAGAGCTGGCGGAGGTAGGCATTTTAGAAACATGAGAATGGATGAGAATGCAACCGTTGTATAAATTGTTCTTGACCTCATGATTAACACATGTTTGGGAAGCATATGTGTAAAAGGCATCGTTTTTTGTGCTATAATCAGTTGCTGTATCGCTTTTAATAGCTTTAAGATGGGCACAATGAAACATCTTCGAACATCTTCCATATGAAACAGGAAATGTTTCGATCATTGCTTTCAAACCGGGCATGATGCATACACGTCCATAAAATTAGATGGGTGAACTGGTGAGTAACCAAGAACGGTTCATCTGGGTGCAGGTACTCACGCTGTGTATGAACTAGCCGATCGCGCTGATGTTTCCCTTAATTAAGTGTCATAGGGTTTCTGCCACCGTTTCATACATGCAAAGTTTTTCGAATTCCTTGCAAGGAGCGGCGGAACAGTTTTTTGAGGACCCATAACTCGTTTCGGTTCAAAACATCCGGTGATGTACTTTATGCTTGTCAATCCTGACGACAAATTAGTTTGGTTGAGCCCTATCAGTGTCAGTATCAACACACAACAACATCCACCCACAACAACAACAATCCACTCGCCATTCTGGCAACAGACGCCCTGATCTATTCTGACACGCTCAACTCACCAACACGTGGCTCAACTCACCAACACGTGGCTCAACTCACCAACACGTGGCTCAACTCACCAACACGTAGCTCACCTCACCAAGACGTAGCTCAACTCACCAACACGTGGCTCAACTCACCAACACGTAACTCAACTCACCAACACGTAGCTCAACTCACCAACACGTAACTCAACTCACCAACACGTGGCTCAACTCACCAACACGTAGCTATCGTCACCAACACGAAACTCACATAGCTCAAGTCACCAACACGAAACTCAACTCACCAACACAACACGTAGCATAACTCACCGTCACGTAGCTCAAGTCACCAACACGAAATTCAACTCACCAACACATAGTTCTACTCACCATCGATGTCTATCTCCTTGATCATATCCTTGAGTTCATCCCCTGACGGGAACTGTCCCAGGTTCCTCATGACGGTGCCCAACTCATCCGTGGAGATAGACCCGTCTCCATCCTTGTCGAACAGTCGGAAGGCCTCTCTCAACTCTGAATAAAACATAGGTAAGTATGGTCGTGACATACAGCCTTCAGCAGACAACTGCCTATCACCACGGTCGAGATATGCTTGCCGTAACCTGTATATCTACAAAAGACTGAGTGATAGAATTCCAACTGGCGTTATACTTAGCAAAACATATATATACAGAATAGATATACAGTCCACAGCTGCAGGAATCAAGTATCTAAGATTATTAATCTGCTCCAGAAAATCCAGCGAATTTGTCCAAGAAACGTGTCACAGACAGCAATTACAGAATGTCAGGGTCGGTCACGGAGAAGAGTTGAACCGTCTCTAAGACACTAATACAATGTCATCACGATACACTGAGAACTATTTTTCACGTTTTCTCTTCAACTTTCCACGACGTCAGACTCTGTTTATAATTATTTGGATGAAAGAAAGAATGTTGGCTATGTAACTCTTCCAGAAAATGCTGATGAAAGTGGTGAAACTAGCGGTGGGATTTCCGACAGCTGCTGCTGGAGAAGAGATGCTCTGTCTTCTAGAACCCAGCTAGCACTGCTTCAGTTCCCTGTCTCTGCCAGCCTGCAAGAAGGACAGTCCTTGTCACGTTGCTCGCGGAAATGTCATGGCTAGCATAAACAAGTTATTATTACAATGGGCAGATGACGAGGAATACTGTCATTGACGTAGTCACTCTCCACGCCTCGAGGCGAGTCACTACAACAGATTAACGTACCTGTTTTTCCCAAAGAGGGTAATGTGACAGATAATATCACGAATGAGAAAGAAAATGAAATCGTATATACTAGTAGTGTTTCATCTGACCTATTAGGATCATTTGAGAAATAAGATAAAATAAAACCGATCGAACACTGTCTCCCTGATAATTAGTGCATGCGTGTATCCTCCGTGTCTGAACACTTCAAGTCTTAGAGGTTCAAAACTTTGGAGGAAACCTCAAATATGGTGTGGACAAACCAAAGATAAAGATCACTGCGAATCTGGAATTCGAACCCACGATCATAGGATCGCGGCTCTCCCAAGGGACGCGACTCTGTAGAGCGGCGACTGAGACGACTGGCCTCCGTGTCCCCGTATTAATTAAAATCGAATAGTTGTGAAGTGAATGGCGGTATTTCAGACTTTAAACAAAAGCCAGGCAGTAAACTGGTTTGTGTGCTCCAGGTTCGACCACATTGTATAGGTCATCCGTCGTCAGCTGTGATCTGTATTGCTGCTGATGGACCAAGCGCACCTTTAACAGAGGGATGCTTTAATTGACTCCCCATCTCTGTACATGTATCTGTCTACCGAGTATAACCGCCTCCGCGGCCCGGTGGGTAGAGCGGAAGGTCGGTGGCTCGATACCCTGGTCGCGTCATATCAAATGACGTTAAAGGATGTTACTTGACAATACCACCCGTGAAGATCCGGGTCAGAATAGTTCTTCGGCAACCAATGCTTGTCGTTAGAGGCGACTATCGGGGTCAAGTGGTCAGGATCGCTGACATGGTTGATGCATGTCATTGTTTTTCAATTGCGTAGATCAATGATCATGATTTCAGTTCATAGTTTGGTTAGTCCAGCTTGGGTTATTTCCAGGCCGCCCGTATATATCTGGACTATTACGTGGCGTAACAACATCACTCATGTCAACTGTTGGATGACTCACAGGTTTGTGTAACTATTTAAATGTCAGTTGAGGTATGACGTATCTGGATGGCTTTCAGGCAGTGTGTAATCACCATTTCTCTTCAGTTATTCCCATTATGCGTAAACATGTAGACTGGCAGTACAGGATAACAGGACATATACAAATAGTGTGATCTCGAAGGCGGATAACATGTTACAGGACTACAGTAAAGACCAAGTGACTGTCCATACACACGAGTACATGCTGCTTTATAACTCAGACACATATGTTGAAACTCAGATGAATGGCTTCCTGTTGAAACTCAAATATATGGCTTCCTGTTGAACTCAACTATATGGCTTCCTGTTGAAGTCAGATGTATGGCTTCCAGTGGAAATCAAATATATGGCTTCCAGTTGAAGTCAGATGAATGGCTTCCAGTTGAAGTCAGATGAATGACTTCCAGTTGAATCTCAGATAAATATGGCTTCCAGTTGCCTGAGTCTACTATTCTAGACACACTGTTATGCAATTTCATGCAAAATGATGGTTTTGTTCCTGTTTACGGTCTGTCAATCACGCACATGGAAAATGTCAATCATTTATACCTGCAGCTGGGATATATGTCGAGGTCCACTTAGACAAATTAGATTCTGTCATAAATGTAGAGAGGTGGCTTCAACGTGACTGACGGAACCCCACTCCATATTGTGCTGACATCAATAACTGGATTGTCTGGTCAAGACTCGATTATTTACAGTCCGCCGTCATATAGCTGGACTATTGCTGAGTGCGGCGTAAAATAACCAGCCAACCAACCAACCTTATTGTGCAAGGAAGTGTCACTGGACACTACTATCGGGATAACGTACTGACTCCCTCTGTTGTCCCGTGTGCAAGGTGTGTGGGTTGGCGTTTTGACTTTCAGGACGACAACGCCCGTGCTCACCGTGCACGAATCAATGTTCACCTCCAGCAGCACAACATTCATAGAACGCCATGGCCAGCACTGAGCCTAGACCCTTCCCCATTGAACTCGTCTGAGACATGATAGGGTGACGTGTACGTCAACGTCAACGTCATAGGCTGCCTTCCACGTTAAAATCATCATCATCATCATCATCATAATAACAACAACAACAACAACAATAATAATGCGCTAACTTCCACGCAACAAAGCATGTTCAAAGCGCTGACAACACTTGTACACTAAAAAGTCAAATGAGTTTTCAAACAAAAATGTTTTAAATCTTGACTTGGAAACATCAAGAGATGCGGCTGTTCTGAAAGACACTAGAAGAGCATTCCATTTCGTTGAAGCAGTTATTTAAAAAAGATCCTGCACCAAAAGATTTAAGTTTCCAAGTGGGGATGACGAGCTGACGTTTGTCATCAGACCGCAAGTTCCTAGATGGCGGGTACACATGGACAAGGTCGTTGAGACAAAATGGAGCTGTTCCAATCACACACTTGTACGTAAAGGTTAACAACACGAAGTTAACTCTTATTGCAATAGGCAGCCAATGAAGGGATCGTAACACTTAAGATAAGTGTGTTCTTACAGGTGACTTTGTTACCATTCTTGCCGCAGTGTTTGGAATCTTCTAGATCCTGTTAAGAATAGTGATCTTTATAGTGCAGCTGTGGCATCCACTGTCAGAAGGTGACGTATGGTACCGATGTTCTTCAAATGGCAGTAGCAACTACGACATAAGTACAGTAAATTACATTTATAACGAACTAACGGATATAACGAACTTATTTTAGTCCCGTGCTGTATATATGCTGTATATATGCTTATAACGAACTACGGTTATAACGAACTAAAATTAGTGGTCCCTTTGAGTTCGTTATAACCGTAGTTTACTATAGTTAACATTGTGAGTCATAGACAGGCTGGAATCAAGTTGAACTCCCAAGTTTCTGCCTACATGTAAAAATGGAATGTCTGATTTGCCCACAGAAAGATGTTATGTTGGCTGAACTTGGCCAGGCGCTGCAAGATGAGTGGGACAGACACCCTCAAATCGCCATTGAGAGACTCATACGCAGTAAACCCCGTTGGGTGAGTGAATGTCTGGTAAGTCGTGGCGGTATTACGCACTACTGATCCCAAAACGCCAACTTTTAATTTCACATCTTACCCTATCGTCCTTAAAGATCGTTGGCGGTCATAACATCTACCGTCATACTTAACTACTGGGTGTATGAGGTCCCCATTCGTTCGTTATTATCATGCATCTATAACTGGGAACTACTATCTCTAACAATTTTGGTGACGTTGATTTATTTCCGAGTATCCTCTAAATGTGAAAATAAAGTAGGGTGGTGATTAACTTTGTTCCTGGGGAATAGTTTGGTATTATTGTATCCAGTATGTGGAATACAACGGTAGCCTTTACAGAGTTGATGAGCATTCGTTAATGACAGAATATCCATACATTACCTCGTATCTGGGACTCCGAGTACTTCTGAAGGATGCTTTCCTGGAACACCAGAGCAAAATGGTACAGACACGTGGAACAACTACATGCAGTCTACTTACAGAACATCAAATACTCTGGGAAATTATATATATACCAGCCAGCGCACTAACACATACTGGTTAATGTAGATTACTGGTTAACTACTACATGCAGTCTACTTACAGAACACCAAATACTTTAGGCATTTTATATACCAGCCAGCGCACTATCACATACTGGTTAATGTTGATTACTGGTATGCAGTCTACTTACAGAACACCAAATACTCAAGGCATTTTATATACCAGCCAGCGCACTATCACATCCTGGTTAATGTTGTTTACTGGTGAACTGCTACATGCAGTGTACTTACGGAACACCAAATACTCAAGGCATTTTATATACCAGCCAGCGCACTTTCACATACTGGTTAATGTAGATTACTGGTTACGCTACATCGCTGAATATAGAAAACCTACAACACTACAGCAGTATTATTTGATATTAAACTACATTGTAACACCGTGGGCATTATTAGACTAATTAAACGTGTATCCCGGCAAACATAGCCCGGAGTGGACGAGGCGTCAATCAATGTCAATCAATATCTTTGTCCCACTTGCTGCAGATATTTATTCGGGTTGCCGGATCCATCGAACGACAACGTGGCTTATCGCTGTTTATCACGGGGGGATTGTATCTTTATTTGTTCCTGTAGCTGGCAATTGAATCACTCTGATCTGGCTCTACAATCGATACCCTCAGCTCCAAGACGCACGCTCTCCACACAACGATCTCATCACATGAGGAGATTGCAGGTTGATGTTTACACGTGGGAGCCCCTCGACCTGGGGTTACGGTGTCGTCGTGTTGTTGAGGGGGTGGGGATGGGGGTGGGGAAGCCGAAGCTACATACCCGACTGGGATGTGCTGATGGTTATGTATGTTAACCTATAGGCTACATACCCGACTGGGATGTGCTGATGGTTATGTATGTTAACCTATAGGCTACATACCCGACTGGGATGTGCTGATGGTTATGTATGTTAACCTATAGGCTACATACCCGACTGGGATGTGCTGATGGTTATGTATGTTAACCTATAGGCTACATACCCGACTGGGATGTGCTGATGGTTATGTATGTTAACCTATAGGCTACATACCCGACTGGGATGTGCTGATGGTTATGTATGTTAACCTATAGGCTACATACCCGACTGGGATGTGCTGATGGTTATGTATGTTAACCTATAGGCTACATACCCGACTGGGATGTGGCGGTGGACGCATGTTAACCTATAGGCTACATACCCGACTGGGATGTGCTGATGGTGATGTATGTTAACCTATAGGCTACATACCAGACTGGGGTGTGGTGATGGTGATGTATGTTAACCTATAGGCTACATACCCGACTGGGATGTGCTGATGGTGATGTATGTTAATCTATAGGCTACATACCCGACTGGGGTGTGATGTTGGACGCATGTTAACCTATAGGCTACATACCCGACTGGGTTGTGGTGATGGTGATGTATGTAAACCTATAGGCTACATACCCGACTGGGGTGTGGTGATGGTGATGTATGTTAACCTGTAGGCTACATACCCGACTGGAGTGTGCTGGTGGTGATGTATGTTAACCTACAGGCTACATACCCGACTGGGGTGTGGTGATGGTGATGTATGTTAACCTATAGGCTACATACCCGACTGGAGTGTGGTGATGGTGATGTATGTAAACCTATAGGCTACATACCCGACTAGTGTGAGCTGATGACGTATGTAAAATATGGTCCAGCAATAGACAACGAGCTCGAGCATTCTGTGACATGCAAGGAGGAGGGGATGGGTCAAGTATTTTGAAAAAAGGGCGGGGTATGTGCACATAATACCCAAGGCTGGAGATGCAGTTAACATGATAGGTGTCAAATAAAGGTTGTGGGTGCGCATCCCCTGCATCACCACCCACCCCCACCCCCACCCCCACCCCAAACCCCACTCGTGGGTAGGTATGGAATCCTAGAAGGTACATTGTCGCCATTGGAAAAAGTAGACTGTGACATTTAACGACAGCGCCGCAACGCGAAAATGTCCCTTTTATGGTTTCGTACGAAACGTACTTTGATATTTATTAAGTGAGTGAGTGAGTTGGGTTTAACGCCGCTTTTAACAGTATTCCAGTTATATCGCGGCGTGTCAGCTTAATGTGGGAGGGAAGCCCGAAGTGATGCAGGTCTCAAACGTTTACCATTTCGGTGAAACCCGCGAGCACGGGTATGGTGCTGACAAATCTAGAAACATAATCGGGGCGAACTGGGATTCGAACCCACAATCATAGGTTTCTGGCATGCCCAAGGGACCCAACTCTGCACAGCGAATGGCGGCGCCTTAGACGACTGGGCCACCGACGCAACTCTGCACAGCGAATCGCGGCGCCTTTAGACGACTGGGCCACCCGTGCCCCGGATATTTATTAAGGCAAAAACTTCCGTGTACTGTTATTGGTCATGCTGTCACTTTTATCCTAAAGTCGTGTTGGTTATATTCAAGTACATGATGCATTCTCACCATATTTATCATGTCACAGTTTATTCTGTTATTTCGTTTTTGCTCTTAGTCATTGTCTATTTAGTAAATTAACCATCCCATTCATAATATAATTCTAAGATGTCAAATTAAGGTATTTGTATCAGAGGTTGACATTTGTTATCATTTCACGTTCTTCTATGACTATAGCAATTCATTTTAACACAACCCCATGGACTGGGACACAAACGACCCTCACAGCGGTCTTTAGACGTGAGGGGGCACGGGTGGCCCGGTCGTCTAATGCTCCAAAGTTTCCTGTGCAGAATTGCGCCTCATGGACGTGCCAGAATGACAAGGTCGTGGTTTCAAAACAGAGATTCGCCTTGATTATGGTCCTTGGTTCGTGAGCACCATATCTCTGTTCGAGGGTTTCGCCAAATTGGTATACCTCAAATGTAACATCATTTCATATATACAACCTTGATATCCTTAACACTGTTCAGATCGCCGTTGAGGGGCTGTAGGGTAGCGTAGTGGTTAAAGCGTTCGCTCGTCACGCCGAAGACCCGGGTTCGAATCCCGACATGGGTACAATACGTGAAGCCCATTTCTGGTGTCCCCGGGCGTGATGTTGCTGGAATATTGCTAAAAGCGTCGTAAAACCATTTACAAAAGCGCCATACACTAATAATGTTAAGAATTCTTAATAGTATCCAATTTTCCCTTCCGGTGAGGGAAACTTGGGATGATACAGTTTCAGAGGCCGAGGAACGGAAGGATGATGGTTAGATTGTGTTCGAGGGCTGACAGATAGTAATATTTCACTAAACAGGTGGCAATAACTTATTTACTGCCTATTTATTTCATATTATCTTGTTTTGATGTTTACTCTCGTCATATATACTTTTGGGCCAGCTGTTTTATAGTTTGGAACGTATTTAAATATAATAACCTGTTGCTAATCAAAAATAGGAATTTCCATGACAAGAATGAATTATTTGTGAGGCCTTTTAATTATTGATTACGACATGAGAGAGAAGCCATCGATATCAACTACCAGAAAAATAATGTAATACCAAGGTTTGTCATCCTTGAAGCCGCATATCCAAATATACTCCAAGTTCAAACATGACCATCTATTGTATCCTGATCAGATTATGAACGGATCTATAGTTCACCTATTATTCAATCAGAACTGATGTCAGCAGCCGTTTAAACCTCGACCCTCGACACTCCTATCACCATGACAGTAGCCGCGCACTCAATGCTCTCGATGCAAGCAACATTAACGCAAAATACTCAGTTACGGGGTTTTGTTTGGGAGTATTAATCAAACAAATTGATGTCGATCAGACTCAAGTGAGCGTGGAAGATGGAGCTGTTCCCCTGTGAGACATTTGCATCCTTCTGTTGTACAGAGTTAATCAATCGCCTGCATACTGGGGGCTGCTAGGTATTGAGTAGACTTGCACAAGTCTCTAAGGCAATAATTATTAGTTTAATCATAATTTCAAGATTATGTATTAATAAGAACAAGTTGTCCCCATAAGAGACTGGAGTCCGTGTACTGTCCACATATCTAGACTTGCCTATTAGGAGGATAGAAGTACTACTCATACATGGGCTTTTCTTTCAGTACGGCCTTGGAGCAAGGCTAGGTATTGAGAAACTTACAACGGGGCGAGTATTTAACACGTCACCGATATAGGCAGCCTATTCACAATAATGGTCAAAGCTTTTTTTAAAACCTGATGTGAATGGGTGAGTGAGTGGGTGTCTGAGTGGGCGTCCAGTCAATGAATATGCATTAGATATATTACTGTATCAGTGGTGGAGATATGGTAGATTAGCTATGGGTATTTTCTGTCGTCTTCTTTGTATGTTAGACTAACGCTTGGTCTCTGAAAATATATTATTTTGATAGAATCATATAACTCTATTTAAATTGAAAAGGAGCCCCAGTGAGATGGGAGATTCAGATACTGAACCCGAGGAAAATCTAGACTTGTTTCTTTTAGAGCTTTTGCAGGGCTGGGCGAAACGGGAAATAATATGGTTCAGGGACTACTTTATGTGTATGTGTGGGATTTGGGGTGTGGGGCGGGAGTTGCTTGGGGGGGGAGGAGGGGGGGGGGGGGGGGGGGGGGGGGGTATAAAGTTCCGGGGTACGCTGTTATCCGTATTGAAAATAAGTTCTTTGTATCTATAACCTCATTCAGCTGCCACTGAAAAGGGGGCATATATAAATGTCTTTATTCGTTTACCGTTATGTCGAGCGTCAACTGGTACATTCCAATTCTTGTCTTATATTTAACTGTCACTCGTGTCTCATGTCACATATTTGTCATACCCGTAATAAATAAATTATTTGAATGTTAAATGTTTTACCAACATCTGACTCATGTAAGTATAAATGCCACATACAATGTCATATGAAACAGTCCAGGAAAATATATTAATCCAAGTATGTCGAAACAGTAGTAATT